ACCAACGAATAGTGGATTGACCGTCACGTTATAACGCCCTCACGACTGAAAGGGCGAACACGTTTGGTGGGACGGGGAGACGAACCCGTGACCCTCAGATTACGAGTTGAGCGCCCTAACCACCTGGACATCTGGTGTTTTGTTTTTAATATTATACATCACCAAACCTTATCTAAATTATTTCTTGTTCAATCTACATCTATTAAATCAGCTGGCTAAAGCAGGCGTATCAGATCAACATCCCAAATTAACTAAATAATTTTTTTTCATTTTATTTCAGAGGTACTTGTGAAATTCTAGAGATTTTTAGAGAGGGCACAATTTTGAAAGCTGTTGGAGATACTAATGTAAATAACACAGTCAAACTAAAAATAATTACACATATTCAAAAATGTTGGTAAATTTTTGAATATTTGATTTTATTCAAACTTCGAGTTTTAAAATGTATACAATATGTACAATGTTTTTGTAGTCTTCTACCTGTGACCTATCAATGAAATGTACAGAACAAAAATGTGAAGGTGGGACAGACCTCCCACCGAAATAAACCATGTATCTAATACCATGTAAAAAGATACACGACACATTTCAACTGACCCCTAGTTCTTCGTGAAAACTACAAATACATGATGGGAAAACTAATTTATGCAAGATAAAATGAGATTCTATACAACATGATCAATCTCCTGAACTCATTATTAATTATTATTATGATAAGACACAATTAAACACTTTTTTGAAAGAAAAAAAAATCATTACTACATTCATTATTAAATGTTTTCAAAGGCTAATAAAAAGAAGCCAAGAAAAAAACATTTGATACTGATGATTAGTTATAATTAGTATTATTATTATTTAGGGAATCACAGTCTTTGGGGTATACATGATTTCATAATCATTGGAATGTCACTATGTAAAGAGATACTCTGTTGTAATGTTAACGGAAAACCTATACTTTGGGTCCAGCCTCAATACCATTTATTGATTCTTACCTATTTTCTTTGAATGTGTGTGTGTGTGTGTGTGTGCACTATGTAACACATAGAAATACAGATTTACATATGCACAATTTGAACATATTGCTAACTGTCAGTTGGAAAAAAAAAACTTTAAACAACAACAACAAAAAAATTTCAAGAATGTAAATACTTCATTCAATTACATGACCTTATCCTACCTGTACACTACCATATAAATCCCATATATATGTCGAAACTATACAAAAGTTTTTATACAGCATGAGAATTCAATAAACCTTTTATAGAAATTAATTTTAATACAATAATGTGTCATTCTCTGCTGACAAATTCTAACGTCTTATTTATAAGCTAAGTATAAAATTTTAAAACATTAAACTTAAGTGAAAACAAAGTCCTCTTTTTCTTCACAGAAAACATTCATAACAAGAGTTCATAATATGTTTCTATTCACACACGTAAACAACCTCCAAGTTACAGGTTTTCAACAAATTTATTCAGTTGTTCCTGTGGAGTGAGGTCATCTCTAGAGAGGCCAGGTTCCGAGTTTGTTGTGTTCTGGAGCTGGTTAACAACACCAGATCGTGATGAACTAGGGTTTGTTAGCTGAGTAAGCATCATGTCATTGGTGGAAGCCATCTGATTGGATCCCCCATACACTTGAGTAGCTCCTGCTATAGTTAGAGTTGGATGAGGAGAGTGGGTTTGAGAAGAGTGGTGAGGAGACATGGCATGCTGTTGGCGAGGTGAAGGAACGGGTTGAGCCCTTGGGGACTGAATTGGCTGAGGTGATCTAACAGCAGGTGGAGAGCACATTAACTGTTGAGGTGAGGCAACAGGGGCTCCTGTCTGAGGATGTCCTATTAAGCCTTGTTGTGGGCTCATGGGGGGAATATTAGGTGAAGAAATTTGCTGTTTTAATTGCTGGGACTGCATTAGGAGCTGCTGCTGTTGATAAGAGGAGTACTGACCCCCACTGTCTGGGTGGAAATTCTGCTGGTGGGGATTAAAGTTCATGGGATGAGTAGGGCGTGCTCGTGGTGTGTACATAGGAGGTTGTGACTGAGAGAACTGTTGCTGCTGCTGCTGTCGCTGTATAGCCAGTAACTGCTGCTTTTGAAACCATTGTTGCTGTTGTTGGGGTGTAAGCTGCCCAGATATTCCTGGCTGTGCACCACTTCCCATAGATGACTGGTTTGGTATCATCATTTGTTGTTGTTGTTGATGCTGCTGCTGCTGTTGTTGTTGTTGTTGTTGCTGCTGGGCATTACGATGCTTAATAAAGTAGGCCATGAGCTGAGGGTTTGTCTTTAACATCTGTAGAACTTTCTGTTGCTGCTGAACAGACCCTGGTAGGCGTAACATTTGTAGCAACTGAGGCAATCCCTGGGGTAACTGAGATGTACGCTGCATGCCTGGTCCTGCTGGTGGAGGTCCCATAGTTACTGGTGGATTGCCAGGAGCCGGCCCCATCATCTGTGCTGGCTGTCGAATCCCCAACTGTTGATCAGCCATTTGATTCTGCTGTGCTGGAACCTGTTGTGAATAATTAGAGTGTGATCCATCCCATCGGTTGGGACTACTCAGTCCCACTACTCTGTTACCCATGTTTTGGACCATCTGTCCAATTTGAGTTTGACCTTGTGTGGTTGCCATTAAAGTGGCCCCACTAGTAGGAGAGAGAGCCATGGGGCTACCTTTCTGGTAAGCTCCAGCACCAGCTAAGTGTGGGGCTTGCTGTCTTGCTGCTGCAGCCTGCACTGCTTGAACAGCTTGAAGAGCACCTGCTGGTGGACCTGATGTTGCAGGCTTAATCCCAACTCCAGTTGGATGCGGATGAGATGTTGGTGTTGAGGGCTCCAAAGAGGGTTCATTGGGCATTGAATAGGCACTTGAGCTAGGCTGAGGAAGCTGACTTGCCACAGGTCGGTTCTGCATGGTGGCCATGCTTGCTATTCGTCTGCGAAGAATTTGGGCTTGCTGTACTCTTTGCTGCAGTTGCTGCTGGCGAAGCTTGTGTTTTATATTCAAACAGAAAGGTACCAGACACTTTGCTTCCTAGAAGTATGAAAAGTTACAAAATGTATGAAACTGCTTTAACAATTACTTAATAACAAATAAAGTGACTTTTCAAGGTATGCATGTATGAATTAGAACACAACTTTTTTAAAAAAAAACTTTAAATCTAGAAGAGAACACAATGAATTAATAAAACTAAATATACATTCAATCCAAGAAGCATTGTCTTTGAGCAGTAGCAAACTAATTATTCTTTTAATAACATGGTATACTGTATACAACTAAAACACAATATTTTTCCATAAATTTAGTTGAATATTTTTTGGTGATTCAAATTTGTTTGTATCTTCAGTATTTAGAGTGACTTCAAACCGAGTTTTGCAGTAATGCCACTAAAATTCACTTTTAAAAGCCAAAACAAGCCACAAACATGAACATCAGTATGTATATATATACTCTTTTTTAACAGGTAAATAGTTTTGTCATTTTTAAAACTGCTTTCTTTAGTTTTTATAAATGATATTATATATTAGATTTAACAAACCTGACAGAGCCTAGCATGGTAGTAGCACAATGTAATGAGCTGCTTGCAGACAGGGCAGCCAACAGTTTTACGCTTGCATATTTTTGAATGCTGGACAACTCGTTTCATTTTCTGACAGCTGGGAAGTCGACAGTTGGCATCACGACACTGACATGCATGAAGCAGTGACTGAATGCACCTCATGATGGACAGTCTACGAGACTCTTGTGGGTTCGCCTGTTTCTGATCAGAAGCAGCAGACCCATCATCCAAGTCAAAACCAAGCTTTTCCATCTTATGAATATGACCTTCCTTCTTATAACAGGGAATGCAGAGATCAAAATCCTAGAAACAGAATATACAATAATCTCAATAAACTATTTTTCTATTTATAGATTAGAGTTCCAATACATATAGAAAAGATTCTTGAAAGTTTAATTTAAACAAATAAGCTACTAATATTACTTCATTAATCTGTGTATATTTTCAAGATAATTGTTAGATAAATAAAGACCAAGACAAATATACGCACATCACAAACTGTACAATGGTATCTGGTCTCTACGTGAGCTTTACAACTGTTGCAGGTATATACAAATCGATCTTGTCCTTGGTTGTGTAACTCATACAACATGGCCATAGTTGAATACTTTGCACGTCTCAGTGAGGAAAATTCATGATGTTTCTCTCGTGCTGAAGTCAGAAATGCATCTCTTCCATCCATCAAATCACAATTAATCACAGGATCAGGGTCTTGGATAGGTGGTAAGCTGGCAGCTGCTTGAACCGAGTGCAGCCGAATAACAAAAAATACCTAACAGTAACAAAAAGGGAAAATGCAATGCACTGTCAAAATTCGCTAAACACAATGACAGCTTTATAAACCAACCAAATCAGTTAGTAAAAAATGACATTTTCTACTCGCTCATAACAAATAAAATTGCTCTTTTATAAATTTTTCAAATTTTCTTTGTTCCATAACTTCTGATACCTTATACTACATGGTATTATTTTCCCCTATAATATTCCAAGAAGAAAACAAGTTTAATCCATTCTCTGAGGCTGATACATAGACGGCCTCTATTTTTTCTGTTCATTGCATCAACTCAGAGTCAATGTTATTTAGTAAATCCATAAAATAATCTAATTTTCCCATGCTGCCATGGCAGAGATATTATCATATAGGCCTCTTCGACATCTTGAGGGAAACTGACACACAGAAGGTGAAAATAACTCGTAGCAAAATGTCAATGGTCAACATTACCACAAAACTTATGATCTAATGCATTACATGGGAATTTTAAAAGCAAGAATCCATACGTGTATCAGCACCAAAGAATAGAAAAAAATTTAGAGGCCATTTATGCATCAGCCACATTAAATGGGTTCACAATCTGATATTTGTTGTGTTCAAAAGTGTGACTTGTAGAACAATCAAATAATTTAAAACATTACATATAAATTAGAAAAAGAAACTGATGCAATAACAGTTAATTTTTTTAGTTAATGGATAACTATTATAAACATTTTGAAATTATGAAAAAGAAACTAAATTTTAGCTCCAAAATCCTTCCGATTAAAATCCTGAATATAAACCATTAACACACAGATCAACATCTGGCAGTCACAACTGTCTTTTTTTGTCATCAGTGTGATTCTACACAAGTTAGTTTAAACTGTCAATTTATGCAAAACAACAAGACATTTAGGTTTTTACAATAACAAACTAATGTCTTTTTTTTTTAAGGAATGAAATAGTTTCTATGGGAATAAGTTAAACAGAACCTTTAATCAGGATGCAAATTAAAGTTTAAATGCCATTTTAAAAACACTGCTACCATATTTGTAATTCTTCAAAAACTTCAATAAATGAGTTCCAATGGCAAAATCCTTTTGCTTGAAAAAATAAAAATAGCTGAATTTATCCTTATTCAGTGTAAGAAATTTACTTATGAATACATAAACTAGAATGATGGATGTTATGTATAAGAAAAATATGAAGCTGAATATAAGTATAATTTGTTTATAACGTGGCTAACTTTTACCTCTTTGTGTTTTTCCATAGTAGCATAAATCTTAGCAGATAAGTCACTTCCAGTATTACAAATATTTGATTTCTTGTTGTTCTTCCTCTGTGGATTTTTATTTTTGTTGGCTTTTTTATTTCGTCCACTTTTTTGTCCTTTCTTCTTTCCTTGCTGTTAATTAAATAAGCCCAACATCATTATTTGTATAGTAAATACAAGGAAAATTTGTAAAAGTAGCATTAATATGTAAATAACTTTTCCTTAGTTACAAATATTAATAATATTACTTCTATAACAGGATACTAAACCCAAGTCACAGCACAAACTCATTCACTTCAAGATAGATTTCAGGTGCATACTTGCTGAAGTCATGAGAATTTTGGGACTTTGGCAAAAATTTAGATATTTTTCAAAATGTGTGTAACCATCTTTCTCAGTTATACATATAGTACCAACATAGGCATAAGATTACCCTATGTCCAATTGCCAAACAAAGTTTGAAGCCACAAAAAATCATGAGACAGTGTATATACATGCATGCCGTGCGCAATTTGATATCTTAGATAAACTTTCAACAAAAAAATAGGGGAGTTACTGGCTTTTAGAAAAAATCTCAATCTCCCTTTCTGGGTGGCAATGATTTTAAGGGGTTAAAATGTACATATTTGAATAGTACTAATGAAATGGATAAATGGCAGTTGGGTTTGAACTCTCACTCACGTTCCTGTTTTTGTCTTCAATTTTTCAATAACTGGAACCAATTAGTTCTTTATCAAAATATTGGCAAGCTCAAGATGAATCAGATTTTTTCATTGTTATTATGTACATTCATGAACCAGAAAAAGAAGAATACTCTAGTTGAAAGACAAGTTATTGTGGATTGAGAGTTTGTAATTAGATAACCACAATGAAGTTGTGGATTCTGAGAAAAATGTGGCAGTAACTTTCATACAACACATTCCAAAATATGCAACTAACACAAAAATTCAAGTTTACCAGAGAAATTATTAAGTGACTGAAAGAAAACAAATAGTAACAAATCATCTCAAAGTTTCACAGTGGCATAACATGTCCTACCACAGTGCTCAATGACTGAGCAACACACTCACATGCAACAACTATAGTCTTGAACAGTCGTAAAGAACAGCAGGTTTAGTACTATGTACCTGAAAGGCCAATAAAGGTAGTTTGTTTTCCACAAATTTAAAGCAAGTTTTATACTAACAAATAACAACAGAATTTGTTCTAATTTACTAGAGTAAATATATTGAACAGCACATACGGAAGACATCATATATAATGCTTAAAATTCAAATCTCTCATTTAAAATAGGTGATACTTACTGTCTGAGTTCCTTCTGCTTCACCTTCATCATCCACACCACCAGAGGTCACTGCTGCAGCTGCAGATGCCTCAGCAGCTTTTCTTTTGTCTTCTTCCTCCTGATCCAATTCCTTGATACAGTCTTCCAAAATATTAGGCCAAAAATCTCCTTCAAAATAGGGTAGCTCAACTGCACTTTTCAGATTGTCCTCAGTGGCCTGCTTCAAAATATCCTAAAAAAAAAAAGGTTGAAATTAATACTACGTGCTATAATGTGTTTACTACACAATGTTACCAGAATTAAGATTTGAGGCAGTCGACTGGATTACAGACAAAGACATATCAATGGCCTGTAACCTGACCCTTTGTAATAGCACAGCCATTACCTCTGTCTAGCATTGTACCAATTCCTATCATCACAGGAAAAAAACACATACTTGTAGGTACTAAAATCACTGAAAAAAAAAAGGAAAAATAACAGAAGAAACAAGACATGGATCATTTATGCCTAATAGTTAAGTGTGTTCTCAAGAAATAAGTTATTTTATTTGTGTGTGTGCTTAAATACATGTTCAATAGTTTTCCCATGCTTACTGTACATGATAAACATAACTAAACTTATGGGATGTCTTTTCATAAAATGATATTCCAGTAACTTTCACACAGATCAATTAAACATAAAAACGTTATCAGAAGTAAAATTAATATGATAAGAATGTATAAAAAATTAGTTGTTTACCCTAGAGAAACTTCAGCTGGATAACATGTTGACAAACAAATCTCTATCTACAACCATTTTACTTAATATATAATGATGAAAATACATATGAATCTACTTTTCAACCACAGGCTTTAGCTATTTTTAAAGCTGAGCTTCATAAAGAATGGTGACATTCCTATCGTCACATGAAAAAAACACATACTTGTAGTACTAACATCAATGACAAAGAAGGAAAAATAACAAGAGAAACAAGACATGGATCATTTATATGATGCACTTCTTATAGCAAACATTTCATTAACATCAAGGGTACCCAACTAATGAAACAATGCTTTCTACTCATTACAATTAACATAATTTCAGCATTATATTCAATTAGCTATACTTACAACAAGGTATATGTTTTTAGTTTCAGTTTATGTAGGCAGCTTACTTTGATTGTTTGTTGCTTTGTAATTAAGTACAAAGCTACACAATGGTCTATCTGTGCTCTATCCATAACAGGTATTGAAACCTGGTTTCTAGCAGTGTAACTCAGCAGACATAGCACTGTGCCACTGGAGGGCAGCTTACTTTGATCAGAAATTAATATTAATTACATTTTTACATGATGACTGTTTCTTAAAATATATAAGGCTAAGCTTTGAGGTGGGCAGAAAAATTGAAAAAAAAAACCCTGATAAATGCACTGTTTACAGGCAAAACTCCTCAGATCTACACAAATATAAAATTCTGAATATTTTCTGTGTTAAAATATCAATTCCAATAAGTAAAAATTTACTGAAATGAAATCTGATGTTCATGTGTGCAGAAAAAGGTGTGATAAAGCTTCAGTGCAGTGACTTTGATGGAAGTGACTCTACTAAACTTACATTGTCAATAATGCCAAAGAAAAGAAAAGATTTACAATTTATTTCAATACAGTCATAATGTAAGTTTAATTGTCTTTAAGACTATAAAAAAATTATTTAAATGCCAGGAAAAATGACCATAAAAGCCAAAGTGAGAAATGAATGTTTCTGAACTGCCCTATTAGTGAATGAACATCTCAGCAAATGAATTTTATCCTTACTAAATACTGAGCCTGAATACACATTATTCATGTTATTAAAGCTCTCACATACTAATTTTTTAAAAATAAAAACAGCTTTTAGTAGGTATTTTAAACAACTAAGAAATCACTATATATTTTTGTCAACACACAAACATTTTTCACTCAGAAAGTTGCATCTTAACCAAAATAGTCCATAGACATGATCAGTTAAAAAAACAAAAGTTACTTTTAAGCTGGAAATTCAAATTTACTGTATAAATATTAAAATGAAATATTGAACTTATTTAAAATATTTTTACTGATTTCTTTGTAAGAATAAAAAAATAACTAATGTTTAAAGGGGGGAAAAAACCCTTATAAAAAGCCAAATGTGATGGGGAAAAAAGCAATGTCTACAGTGATCAATGTTCCTATTCTTTTTTATCACATCAAGCTTAGAATTTCAATAGCCAAAACTCACCTTATAATCCAAAACAATTCTTTCAATAATTCCTTTGTCAAGCATGTTTTTATACCACTCTTGTAGCCTCTTTGGTTTGGGAATTTTCTGTTCTGGTGGATGACAGTGGAAGACATAATCATCTCCTTCACTTGGTGGGCAGGCCCAGATATGTGCCATTGTGTACCTTGTTAAAATTTAGAAATGGCAGTTGAAAATAAGAAACTAACTACTGTGAAAACTGATAACATTCAAGAAACCACTTTCTTCAATATAATCATACAAAAGATTCATTTATATACTAGTAGAACCACATTGGGTTTAATTTTACAGGTATTGTTTACAAATTAATTCACTTCATTTTTTGGAAAACGTAACTTAATAAAAACACGAGCATAATAACAGGAAGAATTTATTCCAAAATGTTTAATAAATGCTTCCTATTATTACTTTTGTGTTTTGCTTTATTATTCAATTAAATCCCATAATTATTAATATAGTCAAGCTCTAGTAATTTAGTCTGTTTGTTTGTAGTTATCCTAAAGTAACAATTTTTACAGACAAAATAAAATTTAAAAATATACCTTCATAGATAATTATCTCACTGTACAAACAAAACAAGAATAAATCTAAACCATGTTACATAAACCGAAGCATTCCACAAAATGTTGCAGGAATAAAATATGTATGCCATTGCATATATTAAAAAGTATTTAGTTACAGAATTGTTTCTAAGACCTAAATTACACGATTACAATCTACATTTTTACAACAGAATATAATTGCATACTGCCACAATAGTTTACTAATAGCTTGACTATTAGCTATCATTTTCATGTACAATCACTAATGTCCTTAAACATTAAGTTCATTGGGAAAATGCTATAAAAAAACATGCAAATGCATGAAAAAGTTAATCTGTAAACCCTAATATGTTTTCATGGGTTTCTTACTTCACTCCTTTAATGTAAAAGATTATATAATATTACCTGCTGTGCCTTCTGAATGATAATATCAAACTACACTGAAATAGCAGAACTAGTGATATAATGTTGTTTACTGTGCCTTCTATTTAATAATGGTATCAACAATACACTGAAACTGCAGAAATACTGATATAAAATTTCTTGCTGTCTTCTGAATAATAATAGTATCAACTCTTGCTGTGTCTTCTGAATGATAATGGTATCAACAATACACTAAAACTGCAGAAATAGTGATATAAAATTTCTTGCTGTGTCTTCTGAATAATAATGGTATCAACAATACATTGAAACTGCAGAACTATTGGACATTGGATTAGCTTCCACACATATATTCCCCAAAGCTCAACTATGTAATTTCTCAAACACTATACTTTTACTGTTATGTAAGATAAAGGTAAACCTGTTTAAGTATTTAGTAATAATTATTTCCATCAAGTAACACAAGTGCTTTAAAATTATTTAAATATAACAAAGTTGTTACGCACATATACTTTTAAAACTTTTCCTATTTACACTATATATATATAAAAATATATTATAAAATAATTTTTATTTCTTAACAAAAATGATCAAACTACACTAGTTCCATGAAACTGTGTTTATTTACAAATAAAGTGTACTTAACATTCTCAATACTAAATAAAAACTTTAAACCAACATACCCTAATTGCTTTACATAATCCAGGTATCCCAAAAGAATCTCGTGGTACACGGCTGTTCTGAACTGCTTTGGTCGGAAGAAATGTACACTGTCCAGATATGCTATGTAAACTCGTCTAAAAGCAATAGAATACAAACCACACAAGTGTTACTTTGATAAAATTATTTCATAATCCATAATTACTTAGTTCCAATAAATACAAAAAAAGTAAACAAATTTTCATAAAGACAATACTTTTAAACACATACACAAGTTACTTCTAGAAGAATTCATCAAAATCAATCTGAACCAGAAAAAGGGTAAATTTATCATGAACATTATATACCCATCACAGGTTTTGTCATTTCAAGAAACAATAGGATTTTAGCAGTGAATGGAATGAGGCTCACTTTTTCAAATGATGCATGCTATTTCATCATATTAATTATAGTTGTAACATCACTTGCTCATAACGCTTTAATTATAACTGAAATATCAGTTTTTATAACACAATGTATTTTTTTGACCAGCAAGCTAATGTCCAATGGATATTATTACCGGTACTTACTATATAAAAGAGGTGATTAATAATTTTGAAATCACCAACAAAAATATACAGATGCACCTAATGATTTATTAATTCCCTATGTCATATAAAACCAGAGGTTGTATATGTGCTTGCAAACAAGTAAAAATGCAAGTTATAATATACATTTTCTACCCCTCTTTTGCTAGTTAAATATATATGTATATTATCTGTTATTAATTTTAATTATGACAACAAGGGTTGGTAATGGAAAAATTAAATTTGATTTTTGAGTATCTTTGTAATGTTTTTGATTTTTATTAATTTCATCATTATTGTTTTATAGTGTTGATTAAAAAATTGCCTATTTACAATTAATTTAACTGACAGCTTTGGAACTATATATAACAACATTAGGTACATAATGCTATTATTAATGTTTATTTCTGGTGTACAGTAAACTTAATAGCATTATATTTAGATGTTATGGAATAAATAAACAAGTAAAGCATTTATTCAAATTACAAGTAAACTGTCCATCTAGACCTTTTGAAGCCCTACATCGATGATAAATTAAGATGTACATTAATGGGATATGTCAAACTTTCAAGTGCATGACTGATGTGTATAAAATTGTTGCAGCACATGATATGAAACCTTAGCTCAAGCCAAATCATGAGGTAAAAAATGTGATAAAAGTTTATCTTCAACTGAAATTTTTTTTCATTTTTTAACAGAAGGTGCTTAAAGTAGTGGACAATCACATTAGTAATTTGTTAACTTAAGTTAAAAAGGTAATCCAGAAAAATGACTGAAATGAAGACTCTTTACATTTTAATATATTCAAATTGATCCACAAGGTGTTTCTTATTAGTGGATATGTGTATAATTTTGAAAAAGCCATCAGTGTTTTTAATGACCATAAAATTCAAATCAGTAATTACTACTCATGCTCCTACCTTCAATGATCGACTCTTAAGCTTATAAATGTAATATTTAAGCATATTACTTTTGTTACTGTAATAAAATAATTTTTATTAAGATACTGAAGTATTTTCAATAAAAATCTGATTTAAATATTTTTTTTGCTGCAGTCATTATCTGTACTGAAAAATTTCTACAAAATATGTTTCTTGCTGATAAATTTAACTTTGATGTCTATTACTGATGTACTTTAATGTCTAGACGAGCTAATACTATAAGAAAGTGAATACTTGTCACCATGCATGGAAGCAACATGAGCATTATCAATTATCTTTTAAGAACCTTTACCTAAAGTTATATTTATTGCATCATTTTAAGAGTGAAAATATTTGTGATATAATTTTTTAATCTCGTGTGTGTTATGACAAGAGTGAACTAGATGTGTCACAAGTAGTGGTTCATAAAACTAATTTTCCATTATAACAACTAAAGTACTTACAGAAACACAACCTGTTAGAAATAATGTCACATAATGTAACTGTTCAGAAAATGTAGAGAGAGAAAAAAATGTTTCTATGTTTAACTAAACCCTTTTCATGTTTATTATGAATCCCCTTCCTTCTAAAAAACAGTTATACCTTGTGTTTGGCATAGGACATTCAGATCCAAACTCTTGAACATGCATTCCAAAGAAACAGACTTCTACACCATCTATTTCTTCAAAAGCAAAAAGTGATTTGGCTCGGTATGGAAACTGCTCTGGTATCTGTCCAGTTTCAACGTATCTGGACAAAAAAAAAAACATTTAGAATAGCAATAAGAAAACAAATCCACTGCTTATATATACTTATTTATATTAGTAAAACTTTAAAGAGTTTTTTTTTTTACCTATAGAAGATATAAATAAAAACAACAAAGCCTCAACCATTTGAGATAAACAGTACTATTACTTTATAAGAGCTAAGTAGGTTCTATACATCCAATTTATCTAGAGTTGATTACAGGAAAATCTAATCAAAAACTAACATTCATTAGTTAGCCAAGCTGTATTTTTTCTTCAACTTGGGGCATAGCGGAGGGTAAAACAAAATATGTGCATGCTAAAAGTGAAGCTACCAATTAGGCCACCAATTTTGATTAAATTTGTTTAAATCACACACTCAGTCCTTTTCTGGCTGCACCCTTTTTTTCATACCTAAGGTGTTTTCGATTAGATATCATGACTTTTTGTCAATACACATCAACAAGTCACAGCAAGTAAGAAAAACCCAATAGTAAATAATATTAACTTGGATTGCAATCCTATTATTTCCAACAGACCCATACTTTACAGAACCAACCACATTATAAAATATATGGTGGTAGTTTTTTCTCGTTAAAACAGTGTTAATAACTTCCTTTACAGTAACACCATGGAAACTAGATTAACAGTTTCTTATTATCACACGCTGCACTCGATACAGCCATATCAAGCATTGTTGTTTAAGCTATCACTTGACACTAAATGCTCTTTAATTAGAAGAACTTCATAAAATTTAACAAATTTGTGCTTAAAAGTTGGCAATGAATAATAAATGTCCACCCGTATGATTCTTTCAAAAACTTGAGCTAAAAACTGCTAATCTAGTTTGCTTGGCCTAACCAATACTTGTGTATCTGCACGTCCTTTCACCCTATAGTTTTGCTGCTCTAAATCACCCATTATTAATTCAAATAACAAAAACTAAAAACAGCCCACCTTTACTCTTAGGCGAAGTTGTAGTAAAAATTTTACACTCATAGCTCACATGATTTTTTGCATAAACTGAGCAGCTTTTATTGAATAACTTTGCACATGTGGCTAATATGTAGACCAAATCTGAGGCCTAATTGTAGGCTGTAAAGATCTATCATTGTACCATATTAAAAAAAAAAATCCATGAAAGTTAAGTATGTTTTTCTATCAAGTAAAGTTTCTGTACTTTCAGTGTGAAGAATAAAAAAAAGGGGGAGAAAATTCAACTAAAATTGGAGATTTTATATATCATGTATTTGTTGATGGATTGCCTTGAACACTGGTATGTGAAGTAAAGATCCAGTAGAGCACTTCCACTAAAAATATGCTATAGTTTGGATTACCACAGTCCGAGCTACAGAAAGTGGAAATAGCTAACTATCACTCCTCTCAATAACACAGTGTGTCCTGTAGGTTGTTTTGACTAAACTATCATACGTCTTGACCTACCAGACCAATTATAAAACTAAAATATATCACCCCAATGATAAGAAATTAAGAACAGTTTATCAATTTTTTTTGGGGGGGGGCAGAGGGAGAGTCCACATTTTTTGCATTATAAGCCTGGAAACTTTTAGTGCTTAGTAGTACTCCTGTCATCATGAATTAAAAGTGAAAAAGGTCCATAATTTTTTTTACATACAAAATTTATCTGTTACAACTAAGATTAAACTACACTTTGCCAGTTAATTGAGTTGGAAAACGAAACTTCTTAAGGCCGTTACTTGTTTGATTCTAGAAAGAGCCATTATACAGAAAAATAAATGGACTTCAGTAGATTTTGTTTTCACTGAACATTTTTGAAAATTAAAATTGCTCAGTAAAAGTCTTCCTCTCATAATTGTCTCTTATTGGATCAATGGTTACAATTCAGTAAATGACAAAATTAGTAACAGGCATGGAAAATGTGCAGAAATAATTATTTAAAACTTTTCTGAAACAGGACTACAACAAACAAAGCTAGGAAATTACATTGAAAATCGTGTGAATAATTTTCTGAAGAAGAAAGAAGCTTGTGCCGGTGAAGTTACCGTTAGGGTTGTAGCAAGCGGAGATAAAGTGGTCGACGTAAAACCAGGAATGAGAAGCAGGTATGTCTTGTAGATATTGCAAAACTTCTAGTAATATTGACACGTTTTTGATTAACATCTCTACTGTCATTATCAATGCCATTTGAAGGGACTATGTAGTGTATCGAAAAACTAATACATTAATTGAAAGAGTAAGAATAAATAATTACTGATACTTGTTGATTTTGCAGTATTTTGTTTAATTTTCAGTGAAATAGTTGTTGAAATTCCCTCAACAGATTTATTTCACAGAATTTTTCAGTTACAACTTCCAGTATTTTCTAACAAGTTATTAACGGAATGACTATTATTCTTACCGGTATGTTTTTTCACCCAATATTGGTTCATCCAAGATTATGAAACATTTCAAAATAATTATCGGAAAAAAAATATATATTTAGTCTTAAACAGCATTAAGTTTGACCAGTAAAAGAGTAACTTTTATATGCATGGAGAATACTTAATATTTTTTTCATAATCATAATGTACAAAATAATTTATACTTAAAGAGAACAACATTATGCACGATTTGTTATTAAAAATATTATACCCAGCTTATCAACTCGGTTGCATGAAAAACAAACCAATTTATATCCATAGAATTTTAAACATGTAATTATAACACACCAAAGTCAGACTTTGCATATCTTAACCTATCTACTGCACTTGACAATATTAAACATATTTCCTTATAAAGACCAACATAAGGTATAATTTCTAACATCACCAAACATGTAACTATAATACACCAAAGCCAGATCTTGCATGTCCTAAAATATCAACTACAAGTGACAGTTTTCCTGAGACTAAGATAAGGTATAATTTCTAAATCACCAAACATGTAACTATAATACACCAAAGCCAGATCTTGCATGTCCTAAAACATCAACTACAAGTGACAGTTTTCCTGAGACTAAAGTAAGATATAATTTCTAACATCACCAAACATGTAACTATAATACACCAAAGCCAGATCTTGCATGTCCTAAAATATCAACTACAAGTGACAGTTTTCCTAAGAATAAGATAAGGTAAAATTTCTAACATCACCAAACATGTAACTATAATACACCAAAGCCAGATCTTGCATGTCCTAAAATATCAACTACAAGTGACAGTTTTCCTGAGAATAAGATAAGGTATAATTTCTAACATCACCAAACATGTAACTATAATACACCAAAGCCAGATCTTGCATGTCCTAAAATATCAACTACAAGTAACAGTTTTCCTGAGACTAAGATAAGGTATGATTTCTAAAAAAAAAGATCAAACATGTTCAGTACTGGAAATAACTTTTTTTAAGACCATTATCAGTAAAGCAATGTGAACAAATATAGCTTGTTTGATTTAACATTATGCTATTCTTAGAATTATCAATGTGGTAATCAACCATTGTCAGCCATGGTATCTTGGGATTTTACAGGGGCAACTTGGTAACACCAAGTTTTGAAACATTGTTGATGCATCACCCCAATACACAAAATAAATCTACAAAATAAATCAATAACTCAAATGTTGAGATTTTAAAGTTTCTTTTGATGCAAGTTTTATTAACATTTGTTTTGGATGAAATAAAAATAATTGAAATTGCTAGCCCTAATTTTCAATTTTTGCCCCTATTGTATTTATTATTGAGAAGGTGGAAACAAATTTTCTGCCAGTGTAGGTATAACTTGAGAGTGGATGAAACTCAGCTGCAAGTCTGTAAACTATGCATTTACCTGAGTACTAAATTTAGCTCAAATAATTCGAAAACAGTGATATTTTTAAAAGTAAACATCAAGAACTGTAAAGTTCAACTATCCACATGTTTTTGTTTAATAATTTTCAAGTTTCTGAAGCTAACAAAATTATAAATATAAGATCTTAAACCTTATATCATTTCCTTTCTAGTGATCTATTTGCCATAGAATTCTCTTTTTTTCATTGTGTAATTATGCTAGATTGTAAAGGTCAAAATTTCTTACTAAGTTTGGAGGTTCCTAGAGACTAAGGAGGGTTTTTTGTTTTGTAAGTTAGTTATGGTTTTTCAATTAGTTGAATGCCATGGAAATATAATAAATTAACTTAACGAGTTTCCCTTAAGTGTTTATTTTCCCGAAGTAATAGCTTTAGCAGTTTATTTTTTTATTTTTTTATTATAAAAACTTACAAGATTTGTTAATTAAGTCCATGGTGAACATTAGCACTGTATTATGTAATGGTAAAGATGCTTTAGACGAGTTTTGTTTGCACATTTCTTCCAACAAAGTGGCCTGGCATATAACTTCATTAGGCCTTCTACAGTATATGCATAAAAACTGGCTTTTGGGTCAATGACTACATGGGTTATGTTAGATGGCATAGTAACTACCTATGTTATGTATTGTTGTTTTTTTTTGCATTACTAGTATATAATCTGTCAAAAATGATGGAGGAAAGTACTACCACCCACACCCCATAGTATACCTAACCTCACATTTCATAGCTAACTGAAGTAAATAAATTTTGCAAAATTAATTTCTATTAATACAAGGTCAGAGGTGGCATTACCCCCTCCCCATGGGCTGTAGGGGGTTAATTCTTTTTCATGTTTTTAATACTATTATAATAAAGCAACTAATATTTCTGTTATTAAATGTCTACCATTCCTGATAACACTAAAGAATGTGACTTTAGTCATCAGGTTTGCTGATATATTGGCTGTATATTCCTTTTATTTATAAAATGTACGAAAACAAAACATGTATATTTACTGGCCATATGAAATAATATAAGTTTCACAAATACTACTCACTTTTGCTGGTGAATTTGTTCTCTTTCCTCTTCTTTCCTTGTGCCTTTAGACAGTTATCACAAGTAAACCTGAAATCATAAAAAAAAAGGCAATTAATTTACCAGTTTTTACAACAGAGTTGACGAGTCTCATAGCTAACTACTTTGTACATCGCTCTCTCTACAGTCTTCAGATCTTGTTAGCTAGTGAGATTTTTCAATATCATGATGTTTTTCTCCCAGTTCAGGTAATGGTCTACTAGAATTTTCAGTGCTCAATCAGTGAAAGTACATTTTCTCAGTGTACTCCCATTCCTCACCCCACCTCTCACCAAATTATTTGGAATTAGATCTATTGATCCCCATCTCACACTACAACATTGGATCCACTGGTCCCTGGAATTTTCTATTTAATTTTTTCCCTCCTCATGAAGAACTATATATATACATCTTCCAAAAAAAGAGTGGGGATGAAGGAGAATTCTTTAATTTCCAAACATTCCAGGTCATCAAGCCAAAACACCACAGATAATGATGATGAATGTTTATTCCACAGTTTTAGTAGTCTTTTAGAAATTTGTAAGGAAAGACCCAAGGAACAGTGTTATAGTTTTAGCTTGTTACAAATTTCATAATATACTGTGTATATGACATAGTTTCATGCACAAAAGTTTAGAATTAAGAAAGTAACTTAATCATAAATTGTTGTACCTAAAGATGTCTATCATATTAAACAAGGGTTAGTTCAAAAATGCTTTAAGAAAAAACTCAATGCAAGTTGGAAATACAAATATTTGTCTCATGTGAGAATTACTGATTAGTTGAATGTAATTAATTAACAAGCCTAACAATCAATCAATCAACAATTTCTACTAACTCCCCAACTATAATAAAGAGTTCAACTAATTGTATAAAAACAGCAAAAAGACACTAAAAGCAACTGTTAATATAAGTATATCACTGAACTATAGTTATTTCCTCTATAATTTTGTTGCAGAGATCAAACAAAATAAATACTATGTGTTACTGTATACATAACATTACTGACATACCTAAATTAATTTAGGTTACTATATGGTGAAGCAAAACAGGCTCAAAATCCCATAAATATTCTGTGTTATCTTGGCCAATTTCTTTTAAACTTGTAAAACAAAATGGCTTACTGCTTTTAAAACATAAATAATAGTTAGCTAGGTAATGTAAAAATAATTACTGTAACAAAGCTAACCTTATTATTCATACTTAAGGTTTATTGATGTAAATGTCATATCCATGTAACTAGAAAGCTCTTTATCTATAATTTATTTTACGTTATCACATAATGGTATTGTATCCAACCAGTGGTGCTCAAGTAAACCAGTGTAAAGAGATGCTGGGAATAAAACCTTTTCTCAAAATAACTAGTTGCTCTTTAGATATAATTTTTATCACATGTGTTTGAGAAAAACCTTTCTTTATTTACATAGTTCTGTTATTTTTCTCATTGTGCCTTAATAGCTTCAAATATATGGTAAAATATTAAAATCACACAGGAGCATACTTACCCTTCTGGCCAGATACTCTCAAAGTAGATAACACAAATTTGATGAAGTTTCCTACCACATTCCATACACTCTACAAACCTGCACAAAAAACATATGTCATAAACTGGAGTCAAGAATAATTATTACTCCTAAAACATACAACAGAATACTAACAAGTTCTAAAATTTCAGTTGTGAATGACATGCGTAATCAATAAATCTAGTAATGTTTGAAGATTACTTTAGTAGTTAAATAAAGTATTGCTAAAACCATCAATGTTCAGATAAAATTCACTATATCATCTACATGTGGTTTTTATAGCTGACTTTCAGATATAAGTTACAAGTAAGGTATACTACGAGCACCAGATCAGTTAATAAAGTCATGGGTTTGAATCTCACCAAGTCTTAGTCTTCACTTGTTCATAAAAGATCTACTGCTACAGTAAAGTCACCCATACACTATTTTACAGCTTATGTAACTAAAGGAACATTTTTCTCATAGAATTACGTTTTTTCCTCAACAAAGATTGTTTGTATTTATGGCAAAGCTACAAAGGCTTTATGCCACCAAATCTAATTTTGAGCTACTGACAAAAGGGAAGGCAGTCAATTAGGAGCACCCTACTACAGGTTTGACTGTCATTCTTATAATACATCCACAACTTATAAAGTGGGGAATATTTTGTGGAATTGCACAGATTCAAACCTGGCTCTCCAACTCCAAAATCCAGAGTTCTACTACAGGACCAATCTGGGCCCACATAGATTATTAATTGCACTGTTTAAGGAATAAGTATTTTCCCAGCTCTCAGTTGAGGTGTTTATTTTCAAACTGTAAAATATCATATACATGTATATTACTAGTTTCTTTCTTAAAATATACCTTTTTTTTCTTCAAATATTTGACTAATGTAACAAATTTCTTACTTAAGCAACTGGTGGGTATACTTTTACTGTACAAATACAATAGTGTAATGGAAAACAAAATGCATTACTTACGGTTCCATCTCTAGGTGATCATTTTTCAATTCTTCAAACTGGTCTTTTGGGATCGTCCTACACATAAAGTACTTATTGTTGTTATTGTAACTTCAAAAGTTTCACTTTTGATACTCACTAACCTAAACTATTTATTTTCTACACAAATGACTATGTTTTAATTTATTTATATATATATATATATAGACAAACACTAGCAGTTCAATATATACAAAAACATTGAAATTCATTCTCTGAACTACAAGCATCATCACAAAACACTTTTATCAAATGTTTTTTGAAATATTTTGATAAAAGAAACTTACGTTTGAGGTGCTGTTGGATCATCACCAAGAGTAACCGTGTCACCCTGAATCTCGGAAAAACATCGCTGGCAGTAAGTATATCTGGGAAAAAAAAACCTCAATATTTTTACCAAAAAAAGAATACAAAGCTATTAACTGGTACATAACAGTATTATGATAACTGGAAAACAAATGCATAAAAATGGTACATAGTAAAAAGACAAAAACGTTTTGATATACACAAGGATTATTCACATTCTATATTACCAATCTGCATATCCATTTAGGCTGCTCATGAACATCCCCATGGCCTGTGACTATAAAGGTTAAAAGCCCTGAAATCTAGCATGTGGTGATTTTCAAATGCAAATTATGCCTAAAATTGGCCTCTTATGGGAGGGTTACATTACAGGCTATTATAAAAGCATGCCAGAAATGAAACCTTTGTGTTTCAAAATGAAATAAAAAAAGTACCCTGTAGGGCTGCACTTTATCAGTAAGTCAAGGGATGACGTGACTAAACAAATCAAAGGGAAAGAAAAGGCTACTCCACAACTGCCTACCAGTTGTTCATTGGAAAATAATAAAGTTAAACAATATGTCATTAGAGGTAATGTAAGATCACCATTCCAATACAGATAAACTTGGAATCTCTCATGGAATCTCAAGTCGTATTGATTTAGGACTATGAAAGCAACACAAGAGCTATGTCCAGAGGCTCCTCCCACAATGCAAAATCATGTGGAAGATCAACTGTCAAAATCATGTGACAAACAGAAGTTTGCTGTTGCATTGAATGAATTATCTTGTTTACTTAAGTCTACAAAAGACTGTAATAACCATTTAGAGACAGCTTGAATGGGTAATTAAGAAAATTAAATAATAGACTGAACAATCGTGAAGTTATTTTATATTTTCATTTAAAGAAGGATGACGTTTCAAGCTAGCGCTGTTCGTCAGATCGTACAGTTAACAACAAAGGCACATGCACAGAATTCAAAGAACTTGCATGCATAGTAATTGGAATGTTGAGCATGAAAATTCTAAGGAAAATTACATCTATTAGATAAAGTATAAATAAATAGCGATTAAAATTTACATAAGATAGCAAATAAAATTTGAACAAAAAATGGAAAAATATACAGGAAAGAAAAGCATCCATTTAAACCAGATGGTTATAGGATCCCCAGATTGTAGATTAATCTCCTTATTTAACTTCATTATTTAATGTTATTTAATTTTGACATTTTTGTCGTCTATGCAGTTTTAACTATACTTGTCTTTGGGTAATAAAGAAAACTTTATTATAAATGTACAACCTTTTCACAAAATTATGTCAACCTCAGGTACACAATTTTGCTGAAATATCATACATTTATAATAAAGTTTACTTCGTTATCCAGTCAAGCCATCCCTAAATGTTTATTTTCTAAAAAAGTGGGTTCCTCATCATCAAATTTAAAAGCAATCTATTGTTATTCTGCAAGTTTTTGAGATACATCATTTCAAAAATGATAAAGTTTTTCAAGAGATTCAAGGCAGATGCAGGATATAGCTCTGGGGATAAGTTAAACAAAAAAAAGGCATACATGAAAATGTTTATATTAGGTAAAATAATATATAATTTTATCTTATTATTTAGTATTCCCAGTTAAAATAAATCATTTTATATAAAAAGGAAAAGTCTATTAATTATTTATCTTAATCTTAAAAAAGAAACTGCATTCCTTTACTGAGAGCAGCAAATGCTAAATAATTTTTAGATGATATTAAAATCAAATATGAAAAATTTATTAATGTACATGAAACCAGTTTCCCTTTAAAACAGATACACAGGATTATCATTTTAATAATTATTGTATTTTAATTAACCTAGGATCACAATGATGGTTAGCCTTACTAACATAAAACTACCATACAGTGGATAAGTTTTATCAAAGGTTTAAAATAAGTTAATATACATATCAAACACATCATGGTTACCAATAATAATAATAATACAATCAATGTGGTTTCAAAAATTTTGTGCATAGATATATCTAAATAGTCATAATAACCAACCTGTTTTGGTAACTCCAATATTTTGCATCTCTAGGTATAGTACAAAGTTGCTTGCCATAGCAACATAAAACTTGAGGCTGAAAGACATATTTTCGTCCACAACAATAACCAAGTGACTGCATCACTGGGTCAATCTCTTGCTCAAACACTTCCGCTAACTACATAATAAAGTTTTCCAATTTTTGTAAATTTTATTGTTCTTATTATTTAAATGAAGATACAAGAAATACTTACATATTAAATCTAATGATATTCTGAGGTATAAAAGTTATTCATAACAATGAGATATAAAAAGTAAATTTTTTAAAGTCAAATGACAATATACTGTAAATTTCAAATTATTATATACATCCTTTAATAAATGTATAAATTTGTAAATCTTAAAACAGCACTTACTTGTCAAATCACCTTACAATACACAGTAATCTTCAATTATCAGTAGTTGAAACGTACACATTTCTGTTGTTAAAATGTATTTCCTTAAACAAAGATAATACTAAAAATGTTTGTTTCATCCCACATAAAAAAACCTACCTTTGTACAATAGCGATAAACACGAGATGTTTTTCTATTGTACAACCAAGCATTATCAAACATCAGCCACAAATCATCAACATACTGCCACGGATCTTGGTATTGGCCAGTGTCCAGTTTTCGTTTAATAGAAGATAAGTCCATTGGTTTTCTAATTATATCAAAGTAATCCTTGACCAAAAAAAAAGAAAAACAAAAGAGATGCAACTTAAAAAAAAACAAGCAAACCTATATAGAATAGTCTTGTTAAGTTTCAGTTCTGTTATAAATATAACTGAATATTTATCAATTGATTTTTGATTATTAACATTCAAATAGGTTGTAACCTAAATTTGCAAGTTAATAATGAAGCCCCCTGTTAAGGGACCATTATTATAAGAGTAACTTAATTTATAATGGTTTCATAAGCATGATCTTTCAATTAAAAACTTTCTGAGAAACATATTTCAATGACAGTTTTTTGTTGCTGTATTGTCTAGGCTTTGACACTGAAACCTGCCACAAGTGCTAATTTGTGTATCTCACTAACTCTTGCTGCTGCAGGATAGTGAGACATTTTTATAATTTCTGGAATAGTAAAGAAATATTCTAGATAAAAGGCTGCTTTAAGTGATACTTCCTGATATTTTTTCCCTTAATTTGGAACAGTGATACTTACCAACTCATTATGGCAGTCACTGACTCATCTCTCTGCCAGGAATATCTGTTAATTCCATGCTTTTTTTTTCAGCTGTTAGTGCCTTAAAAGCTGCCAGGGTCCCACTCTATTTTGAGGAACTATTAAAAAAGTAACTGTGACCTTGTGCCCAGGATGAGAATGGGCAAAGGATGAATATTTTGAATCCAATGATAGAAACCTTCAGTTCAAGGACATGCTTCCCAGGAAAAATTTGAAAATTAGAAGCTCAATAGTGCATTCTCCTGTCTTTACACACACACATTTTACGAGTATGATGCCCTTAAAGTTTACAGTAAATCAGCCAAATCTGGTTAGTCACTTAACAGTTCTGTGTCCTTTAGTAGTGCCATGCATCAAAATTTCAGAGTAGACCTGTGAAGCATAGTTTACACATTTGTTGTATATTACACAAGCTTACTAGTAAATAAACCTTTGAAAAGAATTCTGTCAGTTTTGACTTTACTGCTTGTGGTTTATTTCCAACAACAAACACAATTTGTAGTTTCTTCTCCAGTTAATCCCATCCAAATTGTTTTATAACCTATCAGCTTCTCTAGCTCGCATTTCATCTTGCTATTTCTTAAATTCATTCCATATTTAAGATAAATTAAGGCTAAAAATTTTAATGAATTTTTCATGCAAAAAATCTACACCATAAAAATGTATTAATAGCTTCTAACTGGTCAAAAATTGAACTAGTCTGCACAAGTTATCGAAACATCGAGAAAACGTCTATTGTTGTACATGAGTGAAATATCGGAGTGCTCACTTACAAAAACTACATTTTAAGCATATTTTTGAGTCTCTTACTGGAATGATAAAATAATCATCAAAGCATTAACTCCCAAACTTTCTTCCCACGTTTCTGTAACCCTAACAACCCTAGGAGAAATTAAAGTAATAAATCTACCAATTGGTGGAAAAGTGTCATCACTAAGTTGTAAATTTGAAGCTGTCGTCAATAGTAATTGTCGTAAGTTAGTAGTCCTAGCACTCAGGATGAAAATTCATCTCTATTTTATATATATATTACAAGGAATAGATTATAGGATATCTTAATTGGCACCTGACTTTTTTAAGCTCATCTATACAATTAAAATAACTTGCCAAAAAACTTAATTTGTGGCCAAGTTCATGTATCCACATTAATTAACTTGCACATTAACAACTCATAAGCACTTAAATAAAGGTTTAGATAATCATGGAAACAAAGCAAGAAAAAATTAAAATATATAATGTATACCATATAGTTTAAGCACTTAGAACAATTTTTCTTACTGATAAAAGCACAACCGTGAACATAAAAATTGAGCTCATAGTTGAAATTTCACTTCAATTTGACACTGTATAAGAACTTTGATTTATTATGCATTAAGAAACTCTAGGTTCATAATATTTACAAAATATGCCAACTCTTTTAAATAATAATAATAAGAAAAGAAAATATTTCAGGAAACTCCATGACTTTTAAAACAAAGTGGAAAGAAATCAAATTATCCAAAAGCTTCAATCCAAACAATGATCAAAATACAAGACAGAAATAAAGTGATTAAAAAAAAAGTTATGATCTTTGAATATATATTTATTGACAATCTTGTTTCTGGCTTGAAAAAGATTGCTTAAAATATCACCAAGAAAACAAGAATAAAAGTGTAGATTTCTAAAGTGTTTTACTTCCAAAACGTGTATTTCCTTTTTTATATATATATATATATATATAATTTACATACACATTAGAAAAAGAAATGTGCAGACCAACAGGAAAGAAAAAAAAATCTGGATATTTTTTAATGTGACTGAATTCCCAATAGTTAACAGTTTTCTATTTTACAGCTATTTCATGCAAGTGAAAATATTGCAGACAAAATTACATAGTTACTCCAGCATTTTCTACCACTTTGAATAAATTATTTTGCATATATACCAGACATAGAAGCTAGCCAATACATTTCTGTTAGTGATTACTGATTGGAAAAAAAAAATTGACTCTAGGCATTTTTTCCCTGACTGTATAAACCCTGATTTTATAGTCAGGGTGTACACAGTCAGGGAAAATATTTTTGACAATAACAAGAAAAATTATTTATAACTTACTGGAATCTGTAACAACTGTGGATCTACAGGCTGCCTAAAAGGTAAGGATTCAGGGTCTTGTCTGTACAATTTTTCTAGGGTAGGCATTAAGGCTTGACGTAGCTCATCAGGCTTGAAAACTAAAACAAAAGTTAAAACTTAACATTTCAGACACGAACCTTTTTTTTTCATTATTTCAGTTACAATACATATTAATTTAATTTCTTTATTGAATAAAAAAATATGACTATATAAATATATATATAAGCTGTGTCTAACTTTGAAAAATTTGCTAGAAAACACCATCTACAAAACAAATTCAATAATGAGATTGATATACATGTAGTCTAACATATAAATATATATGTATATCTGATAAAAATTTGCAAAGATACTAATATGGTTTTAACTTCTATCAATGTAGATTTAAAGTCATGAATAAAATATGCAACCAACTAGATGCATCTTGTTGAATATTTTACAAAATATAAATTAGTTTCTAAATAAAATTTAAGTTGCCATTATTAAACCAAACAAAACTCTAAAAGATAATGGATTAATTTGTAACAAAAAACTAGTTACATTTTGTACAATCAAAAATATTTGGAACTTACACAGTTAAAATACCTCTTCACATGAATTACCAATTACTGAAAGCAGTGTAAGTCTAGCAATCATACATGGTGCAAATTAGGTGATGAAGAATTTGGCTGGCTACTTTAAGAATCATACGAACTCAACAATATCAGAGTTTCTATTATCAACTGTCATGATTCTCTACTGATAAACTAACTTTCATTAATATGATAATTTGCTTTTCTTTTAATATTATTATGTGAAAGTCAAAGAAAACTAGGATAAAAACCTTAATGATATCATAGAGCATTTTTATTGTCAAACTCCTACTTTAACCTTAATATATTTCATTAAAATAAGTTTTTGGTCAACACAAAATAAAATCACAGATGTAAATGACGGTCATGAATATTTAAGCTAGAACCAGAGAGAGAGAAGAAAAAAGAAGCTAGCTTTTCATATTAATGTACTTTTATTATACTTTCTGTTATTCAAAGAACATAAAGTACAAAGCATAGTGTATGCTTTTTATCATAGATTGCTTGGTATCATAAAATTAGTCAATGCATGCACACAGAAAAACCACTTTTATTAACAGCTCTGTGCCAGGTACATTTTTGGGAATTAAAATGACTGTTACAATCTGAGTCATTTTGTTAAGAAAATAAGGTATTCTTGTATTTATTGCACATTTTCTACCTTTCACTAAAAATGATTTTGCTACAGCTTGTGTTAGGGTAAAGAAAACAGAGATAAAGTATGAAGTTTTACTAAACAAAACTCCTGAGATTCATTCAAGAGTTCCTACAAGTTATGCACATGAAAACTGTAACATGAAAAGAAGTATTTTTTAACATTCAAATCATCTCTCACTCAGACTGACTTAGTAAAGGCTTCCTAAGTTTATAGAGAAATCTTTAGGAATAATATTTTATTTAAAAAAAAATGATTTTTTGTGTGCAAAAGACTGTTTATTAAACCTTGTCAAATTTGGTGAAGGTACACTCAGAATTACACTATATATATTTACAAGGTTGGTCACACTGACCAAGCGAGTATGCGTAGTTAATATTCATTAAATGTGAAACATTTAGCCTCAGCTTGTTTTAGTACATGTGATAAAACAAAATATATAAATTAAATAAATACCTATACATTACATTATAGATAATGACCACTTTCATGAAAGTACAACAAAAACTTAAAAAGATTAGCATTAGCCCTAGAAAAAGGAAAAATTAAATGATCCTGAAAAAACTTGAGAATACAGTTAAAACAAGATGGCTGTCTTTTGCAAAGTCCATCGATTCTATTTACAATGATTCTGTGTCTATTCTGCATACTTTATACAGAAGTTTGGTTTAAAACATTTAGTGAAATTTTTTCAAAGGTACAGAAATAATTAAAAGGTCAATATGTTTTACTGAGAAATCCTTCCAATAAATACTCATTTATACAGCATGCCAATCTGCTTTCTTCATGTCTTGAGGCTATAAAATTACAGTCATCATTTTAGTTTTGCATAATTCATACACATCAAAGGACATACAACAAATATTGAAGGATGATTGGATATCACCTGTTCATACAAATTCCCATTTCCCATCTTTATTTTCAGCTGAACAATGGATGATGTCACAGTGAATATGCACTTTTCTGTCTAAATTTTGCAACTGGTCAAAAAATGGATGTATATTTGTCATATAGATTCTTCCATCCTATATTGAAAACCGATGAGAATACGGCAAACTATGATATTATTAAAAATAGCCTTTCTTCCTTACTGATATGAAACAGCTAAATTTTGCTTGTTGCTAGGTGATTGCAAGAAATTTCACACATGTAGCCGTACAATGTAAAACTCGGAACCTTTTGAGAAAAATTTTAAAATGTTTGAAACCTTTCATTTTTATACTTAATGAAACCCTTGTTTGTTTTTTTGAAATGTCTAAAGATGCAACTACATATGAGCTGTTAACACATACTTTCAAAAATTGAAAAACATGTTAAACAAAATTTTCCAGTGAAGTAATATAAAATATACAAAGATTTCCCCATGCATAAATAGTACAAACTCCAGAAATTGGTGGAAACAAACTACCCTACAGTTAAGCTTAAGTGACTATGAAACAAAATACAGTGACATTGGCCTAACTACGGAATTAAATAAACAGTGAATGCAAAAACACAAGAAGAGTACCTTTATTCTCAAATCCATTTCTATATTTGATCCAAGGTTAGTATCCAATGCAAAAAAGCCCTACTTTTAACGAATATGGTAACTCTGATATTCAGCAATTGGCCAATCTTTTTTTTATTAATATTATTATCATCAAACAATGATGAATGTAGAGCTCCAACTATTTTCTGAATGGTGTAGTCAAATGAAAAAAATTTTTGAGGCATTATTCCACATAACAATTAATGATCCCCTTTCATTCAGACAAAAAAAAATGCCTGATGAGCAATATGACTCTAGGGCAGAGTTGAATAAAATAATCAAAGTTGCTGTTGATATTTGGCTTGAAACAAAGAAACAAATGTTCATTCCTTACCATCATTCATGTCAGATTAAACTTTGAAATTGACGATGAAGCACCGAATGATTTACTATGTTCACAGTATGGTATTGAGGATGATCTGAATAGTTGCTCCATTTCGGCTTCAGTGAGTGATTATGAATAAACATTTAATTAGTGAAGTCAAAACTGTAAAGGTCTTATTCTTTTTGAGCGATTAATGAAATTACCTATAAATTTTTATATTTTTACCTTTGTTGTGGTACTTGTGACTTGATTTTGTAAGATGTTTTGAGTTAAAATTAGTTTGTTCAGCATTCAATGATGTTTTTCATTTGATTTTCATGAGAGCAGTCTTCAATTTACTTCAATCTAAACACAGTCAATAAGCATTGCAGTGGTAGATCCAGGAAGCAGAACTGGCAGAATTGTTATGTGCCTGAAATCCACTTATACTATAATATGATATATATTAATTATTAACTTCATCAAGAATAACAATTTTATGCTCAGAATGCACAATTTGAAATCTAATGGCAGCAGTAAAATTGAATTATTTAAACTAAAAGCATAGTTTTAAAACATTCTGCCAGAAATTAAATTAAGCAAGACCAATTAGAAACTAATTACCCATCTATTGTATGTTCGTATACTTTATTTTAACCTCACCTATTTGGATCCCCCATAAGTAAATACAAAGATATTGTTGGTCTACTATGGCAATTACTTATTAAAATTGGAAAATAATTTAAAGTAACCCCATAACAAAAGTTTTATTTGTATTGAAGTAACTTCATATGAATAACAAGATAAAATAGTGGTACAAACAAATTAATGTAACAATATTTATCATCTTTAATACTAATTTCAATAACCTGTTATTATGACAGTATTTTTCTACAAGTATAATCTTAATTCTGCTGCCTCAAGTCAAAGCTACTGTTCATGGTGATACAGTACAGGTTTTCAAATAAATCTCATATTCTAGCTATGTATGTGAAGAAATGTGTGTGTGTTAATCTACAGAGGTTTTGGTTGTAGTAAAAATTGTTTTCCTACATATATAATTGTTAATAAAAATTTCAGTCACCTGAAACAATACAAGAGAAATTACAAATGTCATAAAATTATACTAGAGTAACTAGAGAATAAATATTTATTTTAAGTAACAAAAGTAAGTTGTCAAAACTAACCTTTTTTATTGGGTTTTGGTTTGGGAGGTGGCTGAGCAGTTTCGGACGGTTCTGATTTATTATCAGATGAAGTATTTGGTAAATCTCCATTGCTTGATGTTGATACAGGAGTTGTTGGCTCCTCTTTCACAGAAGCAGGCTCCACTTTAACACTTGCATAACACTCAGAACTAACATATCCTGAATTACTACTATCTTTCATAGGTTCTTGTTTAATTTCAACTTTCATTGCACTGTCACACTTTGGAGTTTCAACCTCCTGTTTTATTTCTGTTTTTTCTTCTTCTTTGATAACAGTTGTGTCAATTTCCATATTAACTTCTGTGACACTAAGCGGAGTCTTCCCAATCGAAGTTGTTACTTGAACATTTGAAACTGGTGTACTGTTAACGTTATAAGAAGCTGCTTCAGCAACTGAATTCTGTGGTGTTTCACTTGAACCATTTAAAGTACACAACACATCTTTTTGAGAATTCACTCCTTCAGTGTTGCTGGTAATACTTAACCCCTGGGAAGTACAGACTTGGTTAAAAGAATAGCTCATCTGCTGTGGTTGTTCCTGAAGCTGTTGCAGACGTTGTTGAAAATTCTGGGGAGTAGAAGGGGTGCTTGGCCGACTTCTTGTTGTTCCCGGAACTGAAGCTGCCCTTGGAGGCTGCTGAATAAGTGTTTGGTTTGATTGGGGTTGAGGAGTAGATGACTGAGGAATAGGTTGAATTGAAGATGGGGAAGTGGAGATCATCTTAGGTGATAAACCTGGTAGCTGCTTTCCTGATACTTGACTACTCTGTTGCTGCTGCATATTCATCCTATTAACCTGCAACAAATACAATACATTTAGCCATTAACCTTGCAGTTACAACAGATCATTGAAATTTATCATCAGCACTTTAAAACTCTGGATGTAAACACCTACTACTCAATACATACTAGAATGTAAACAGAAACACCAACCATATGTATTATTACTAGTTGACTAAATGTTCAACTTTTAGTCTCACCAAAAAAAAGGCACTTCTTTATTTACAAATGAATGGAACATTTAGTGTGTAAAAATCACAATTTAATAGCCAACTTCCACACCTCTAGCATTAGTGATTGAGCTTAATATTAACATAAACTAATGAATATCATTAATTAATTTTTGCATTTGTAGGAAATTTTAAAACGTGCATTATAAATAAATATATAAGTTAAAAATGGCAGCTAAGTTTTAATGCAAAGACCATCTATGGTGAAGGTAAAAATGCATATATTGTGAATCTATAATCTTCCTTTTTGTTGCAAAGTATCAACATGTAAACAATATGCCTCAACTATCCACAAAGAATGAATTCCCATGTCATTTTAGAAATATCTTGAACTCCTAAAAATTCAATTTTACATGTTTTTTTACACACACCTTCCAATTATTAAAACAAACAAGTCATACTAAAGTACTTACAGTGAAGTTGTGGCAACTGGATACCAATCATTTTATTTTTTTTAATTTTAATTAGTAACTAATAATTAGACTTAGGTGATCACATAGGCTACAAACCATCGTAAGAGAAATCACACTAACTTTAGAGTAATTACTATGATGTACATTGGTTGTTGTCTGCAAACTACCAACTAATGCAGAATAGAAATTATAATTTGTAGTGGTACAGCATTCCAAGAACATGTGATGTGTTTGTCCTTTTGCCCTTCTCAATATATTAGTAAATTTTTGAAGTATACATCAAATTTCCATAAATACAGTGTTCTTAACATGCTGTTTGTTTGTAGTTACACATAAATCAGCACAACAGGCTATCCATGCTATGCCCAAATATTAGCATTATAAGCCCTAAAGCCTACTGCTGAGCCACCAGGGAACTCCTAACATGCTTGATTCATGAAAGTAGTGTGTAACGTATACATCCAGATGTTTACCTCAAATTTTCAAGTTTAAATCCTTTTGACAAATAGTGAGAAACATACTTATTAGATTGGGCAAGCTGAAATTTATAATTAAAACATACTTTAGGTTTTGAAACAAAAATATATGGCCATAACAAATAAATTTATGCCCTGATCTTTATAATTGTGAAATAATTTGATATCAATACGTCTTTATCATATATCCACACACACATTTAGTTGTAATGAATGAAAATGGTGATTAATTCTTTTAAATACAAACTTTTATATTTTGATATGTACACCACCATTATTAAACTGTCTTCATTGGATAAAATTGAGTATGCTGACCAAATGAAACTTAACATAAGCCCTAGACTTTTCAAACTAGAAAAAAAATTCATAATGAAAAACTGCCCTTTTATTTTATGTCTAATTCAAATAAGTTATTTTGTTGGCTAATAACATTAAACCTGTTTGTTTTTTGTTATTAAGGACTATGCTACATGGTAGACTATGTGTCCTATGCCCACCATGAGTATCGAAATCAAATTTTTATTGTAATAATCCCTCAGGCCTACGCTGAACCACCATTTTAAATTTTTTAGTTAGAAAATTCTTAATATACATATATTATTTTATTGAACTTACAGGGGATACAACACTGTTATAAGCAGTTTGTGCCACCTGCACCTGATCTAATCCATGCATCTGGTTTCCTTGTTGAGTCTGCTCCACCTAAAACATAGTTAAGTATGAAATTATAATGAATACAAACACATACATATAACCAATATAAAAGTACCAAGCTTCATTGACAACTGTCAACACTTGTCTACCAAAATAAAACAACTTCAAACCACTTTGCACTAAAGTAAGTAACGTTATTTTTATATGTACATTTCTGTCATACTTATGACAGCTATTGTGGATGGTAGGTACAGTCATCCAAGAAGAGCAAGTTGGTATTATTAATAAATCAGCAACAGAGGCCTTATTATTCAGTTAATGATGTGTTTATTAATTGGTTTAATAATAGGTAATCGGTTTGTCAATAAAAAAAACAGACAGAGGCCTTATTATTCAGTTAATGATGTGTTTATTAATTGGTTTAATAATAGATAATCGGTTTGTCAATAAAAAAACAGACAGAGGCCTTATTATTCAGTTAATGATGTGTTTATTAATTGGTTTAATAATAGATAATCGGTTTGTCAATAAAAAAACAGACAGAGGCCTTATTATTCAGTTGATGATGTGTTTATTAATTGGTTTAATAACAGGTAATCGGTTTATCAATAGCAAAAAACAGACAGAGGCCTTATTATTCAGTTGATGATATTTTATTAATTGGTTTAATAATAGGTAATCGGTTTGTCAATAAAAAACATCGACGGAGGCCTTATCATTCAGTTGATGATGTGTTTATTAATTTGTTTAATAATAGGTAGTCGGTTTGTCAATAATAAAGTATTCAAAAGAACACAATATAATTCAAATACTTTGTCAGTTATCAACAAAACTTTTTATGAATTTTGAATCCTTCCACGATTGAAGTTTGAAAGAGAATTACCAGATAAAAAAAAAATTCTTTTTTATCATTTTAGTTTCTGGTTACTGTTTTATACACCATTCTCCAACAAATTCTTTGTTTACAGTAACAAATAAATCATTAACATTAACCAGATTTCCATCTTATCCAGGGTGAGTGTAAACAGATTTCACTGTTGCATAACTGCATATTGTATGTCAGAATTTGATAATGGCTGTAAACAGTAACTGAAAACCTGCAAAAAAGCAAGGAATTGCTCCATTTAACTCTTTCTACAAAAACTATTATTCAATATCAAACGTGCACACCTATTTGTAACATTTTTAAAAGCTCTAATTTCTAAAAAACTACAATATTTGTTATTTCAGGTTAACACAAGTACATTTTCCTCTTTATAATACATTAAGAAATAAATAATTTCCATCATTAATGCAATTTATTCACCTATAACTACTTGATTAAACAATTTTAGTCAAAGAATATTGCAAGATAAGTAATAGACAGTCTCTAATAAACTTAAGTTTTAAATTGTAATTTTTTAAGATCTTTTAACTTCCACAAGCAAGACTATTGACTGAACTTCTCTCACAATGTCAGGTGGCAACAAATGCACTGATAATGTTTTAAAACTCCAGAAAATAAATATTTAAAAAGAACTTTACAATTGGCAGGAAAATATGACATACTACAAAGAGTGGTTTACATTTTCAAAACTATTTTTGTTAATTCTTATTAAAACAATGCAGACTTGAAATATACTATAAAACTTGTACACACTTCTGATGTCTAATATAATTTGGATTGAGCAATGAAAAATAAGATTTACATTATGATTAATTCCAAACGTGTTACTTTTATGTCATATTCATGTGATGAAAATACTTACAGTCACTTGTCTTAATTTCACAGAATCAGTCAGCTGAGAATAATCTTCCTGATATCCTGAGCCAATCTGGGAATTAGGGAAAGACACAGGCCCTGCTGCAGCACTTATTCCTCCAAATGAAACAGTTGTTGTACTTGTGACACTGCCTATGTTAGCCAAGTTACTAAAATGAGGTTGTTGTTGTTGTTGTTGTCCAAGTGATGTCATGGGAGGAGTGCTCGAGTTTGAATGACCAAAATGAGTTTGGTTGACAGTTGTAGAATTAGATAGGTGGTTATTATTGATATTAACAAAAAAATCATTCCTTGAACTAGGAATAGTTATATTTGGTGGTGGCATTCTCTGGTGATTACCAAGATTTGTAATATCTGAAACATGTGGCTGGGATGCCATCATTGAAGGAGAAAGATCTGTAAAAACATGCTTATTTTAGTCTAATAAAAAGTTTTGGTTATCATAAAGTTTAACATATCTATTTTCCTATGTATTCACTAGTTATATAAAATTAACAAATTTAATACATTCATTTTTGATCAACTGGATTTTCACTAGATGTTTAAGACACAATAAAGGAAAAAAATACTATTACAACATTTATAAGTTTAGATTTTCATCCAAAAGATCACAAAGATAAAAAGAAAAGTTTGTTATGTTTATCATAAACTTATTATATTATGAAACATAACTAAAAGTTTCATAATATTAATTATCCATTACAATTAAGTATTTCACATTCAGAAGAGCTGTCTACTCAATTTAGTTACAGATGAAAGTATAATATGCACATATAGCCAAGTTTCTTACAAACTGAGTGACACACATTTAACTATTTTTGGTTTATTTTCAAATTTAAAAAATGTGAAATATCTCCTACAAAACATTTCAGTACTATGGCTTGTATTATTAAAATTTAATCCTTATGTTACCTGATGGGTCCTTTTGATGTACATCAAACATTGTGGTTAATTGTGTGTGTGTGTGTGTGTTTATTATACTATGTTTCAGAATTCATGAAGCTACACTGGCTATATAGCTTACAACAGAAATTTAAAAAAAAACATACATGAAATGTTTCATAGCTTAAATTTGAGAACAACTACCAAATTCTGTAGATTTTGCCAACTAACAGAAATTTAACTTTACATAAAACAATGTCACACAAGGTGAAAAGTGAAACTTGAAGCCACAGCAATCTTACTCGCAGGAACAGGAAACAATTTTATAAAGCCTAAGAGTTAAAGAGAATGAACCTCAGCAGGCTAAACATTTCAGGCTATTTAACACTTTTCCATCACCACATTTTTTAACTGACCATAAAAAAAGTGGATGAGGTTAGTGACTGCATGTGTGTTATTCAAAAACAATCTCTAAATTAATAGATTTTATTACTTTCAAATTTTCTATGGAAACATAGAAAGCTGTCAAATCTGACTAACAGATCTAAAAGCACAAATATATTTTACAAATTACTCTTCATTCATAAGATTTACTAGTAAAGGACGAGTATTAACTCCTTTTAGGATGGCATGGAAAGCTGAGTTGGCTCTGTGAACCACTGAAATTCAGTAAATATTAAAAAATTTATCACAAAATGGATAATTCAATCTCATTATACCTAATGCAATTTTAGTCAAGTTCTCAGTCATGTAACTATTATTTTATAGTTATTTTTACTTTTAACATTTATCAATTTAAACATTATTACAAGTACAAGAAATATGTAGTCCTTCTCGTAAAAAAAAAAGTATAACGTTTCCAGCTCAATATTACAGACCTAATGGTTTCACATTATGCGGTTAATAATTAAAACAAGAAGTATTAAAAACTTACTTCCTGGAGGAAGTCTGACAGGACTACCGACAGGACTGGGCGTTCCAACATTACTTGTTACTTGCTGGACCTGACGTAGCTGTTGTTCTTTTCTTTTTTGCCGTTTTTCTTCTAATTCTTTCTGAATTTTATAGATTTTTTCTGCTAGCTTTTGGTAATATTGTTCCTAATAAATGATAAAAAAATGTAAATTTCACTTCTGTAGTATCCTAAAAAATATAACTGAAGACATTATAGTGGCATGGAAAATATTTCAAGACAACAACATTTTTGAACAGAAGGAATATCCTTTTATTATTCAATAAACAAATAGTTGTTAACAACAAAAAAACTCACTCTGCTATTGGCTTCTTCAAACATGTCACGCTCCACCTTACGTGCATATGCGACTAGATTTTTCATTCGTTTATCTTGAAGAGCAGATGGGTCAGGAGTGGGAAATATTGTCTGTACTCTACAAAAAAATAACTTTCAATTACTAATGTTATATTTTGTCTCATAATAACACAAAGCTAATAATTAAAAACTGGATCTCTATTTAAATAAAAGAATTCCATGATGAAAAAAGTTTTACCATGTAATAAAAAAAAAGATAAAACCATCCAATTTCAATGTCATACAAACTTTTGACCTAAAAACAATTTTATCAAGGAACCTAAAGTTCTTTATGACTGTCAAACACTAAGACTCAGAAAATATTTCCATAACAAACTTCATTATTCTGATCATCAAACATTACTCACATTTAAAGTGGAACCCTTTTGAACACCTCCAACAAACAAACAACCATATTTAGAAAGTTACATCAAAGTCAATGAAAGACATTATAAAAGTCATTCAAACATGCTCATAATAATCTCAATACAAAAACTTTTTTTAAGAACCTTATATCACAATTATTATAATAAATCTTGTTGAAAAAGTTTGTTACTGTTGTTATTCTCAACAACAACAACAACAAAAAAAAAACACATACCATCGGAACTAATTACAAATATAATCACACTAATTTATACAAAAAAGCTAATGCAGGATCCAACAATACAGTTTACACATACAATCAATGCAAAATTAAAGAACTATATCATCCCAAACAAACTGACAGGCCTCAATACTAAGTGCTGAAAGCATTAGGAAATAGTTTCTAGCTATTTCTTTTCCCACAAGCAAATTCAAGAATGCTACTAGCAACATTATCAAGGTTCCCACACTTGGTTAAAAAATAATTTTCCACAACATTTCAGCCATTTTTAATGATACTTCAAAGCCTTGCATCACCCTTTATGTCTAGGCCATCCTCGTGTCTTTCAGTTTATTTTGCTTACAACCTTATTTTAATAATTCATTGGTTACATGATTTCAGTTCCTTTCCATGAATTACAAGCTTTTTCACAGCCTCTGAATATTTTTCACAAATCACTAGTTCTGTTTTTGTTGCACTATACATTTCAACTAAACTTTTAAAATTGTTAATAAAAGTATGTCACCACAAGGTAACCATTAAATTATACATATAATGACATTTAATGTAGTAAATGGACCTTAATGAATTTTGTCAAGCTTTTAGTAAACATTACAAGCCTTTTGTATAAAAAAACAAAACAATTTTTAATCAAGTATTTTTACTAAAGATTGGTCTGTGAATATAAGAAGTCAGCGTGTGACTAGTCTGAGTGCAAGGTGATTTTTCATGTTAATATTAAAAAAAAAAATTTTTTCTCAGTTTTCATGTTTCGTTTCCATAACTTCTAAAACCTCCATGAGAATATCAAAAGTTTTTCAGTAAAAATGTATACCTTATCTATTATTTTCTCTACCCTAACAGAGTTGATTTGACTGACTTTGTAACCACCATAAAACAAATACAAAATAAATCTAAAGTACCCTTTTTCATTTATAGAACGACAGCAGATTATAACATGAAATTATGATTAATTATCTTAAACAACTTAAGGTTACATCTGTTTGTATATAATTTTATTGTTTTACTTCTCTTGGAATCATGTCTAATTAATAATCAAACAACACGAGCTATAAATCACATGGTGAGTACATAGTTGCAATATTGAATAATGTAATACATGAGCTATTTACAAGCACGCCCAACGGGGAAAGTTTTATAATTTTCTTTTTCATTTATCAAACTTAATAACTTTCTAATTTTTTACATTTTTGATACCTTTATAACAATAAATAAACTATTTACATAAAAAAACAAGAAATTTAGTACTTTTATTTGGCCTCATTTTTTTGCCATTAGCCCACTCATGAAACTTAAGCCTACTTTTTTTTTTGTACTAGTGCATCAAATAAGTTTTATTTATGTTAAATATGCACTTAAGAATATAAAATAATAACACACACAAAGCAAGCAATGTCCTATAACTATTATAATTTAACAAGCTTTCTAAATTAGTACCTTAAAATAATTCCCTTAGCTGTTCAATCTAAACTTAGCAAAACCAACTTTCAATCTGTAGTCAAAATAACAGTCTCAACTGGGAACAAGGTAGCATTATTCATTAAATTAAAACTGTTTTTCCATTGGTTATAATTGATGTAAAATAAAATGTCAAAGAGAATTATTGGCAATTTTTGAGAAAGAGAATGTGATAGAAGGGGGTGGCTAGTGGGTCAAAAGTTGCTGATTTTATCTTCACAAAAAGGATTGAAGGCTAAAAAATTACACTCTTTGGTAATATCTATACTATAATAAGTAATTTATGTAAGTTCAGGACATCATATAGGGGTGACGAAAAAAAAAAAAGATCAAGTGGCAGCTAAAAAATGTTACGTTATACAGACAAAGGAATACTCAGACTTTATTTAAATATTTCATTTTGAAATTACGAAATTAAAACTTATATAATATTAACATTTTGATTCATTAAGCATGTTTTTATGCCAAGTTTATTTGTAAACATTGATGATAATAATGTAGTTTAAGTGCAAACTGAAGTTAAAGTAAAAACTTTTTTTTTTTATATATGATTAATAATTTTTAATTATACATTATTCATCAAGCAAGTAGTAAAGTGACATTGTAATTATTGTAAACTCACGTACTAGCTATGAAAACAAATCTATGGTGCTATGGAAATATATTTTACACAAAATAATGGGGTGAAAATAATGTATTTTAAAAAGAAAAACAAGTATAAGGTCATAAAAAATTTTTACCCCCCACAGTTTTTTAGGTTTTATGCATTAAAGATATGTAATAATAAAAAAAAAATCCCATTTTCTAATGAACTGTAAAGTTTGGCAAAACCTGCCATCATAGGATTATGTAAATAAACTTAGTAGCATTTTGCTGAAAATTATAGGAGTTACTTAAACAGAATGACCATCCAACTACAGAGAAAAACTTACAGAAAATATGGTTCAACAAAATCAATGAAATCAACTATCCATTGGAACATATCTATGTGCATTGCATATAGATCACTCCAAAGCATTCTGGTAAAATTCTGCTGAAAATTGTATAAAGAGGTGATTATGTAAATCAGCTCTACTTGAGATATGCTCAAAGACAACCTTCATAAAAAAATAGATAACATTAAAAATTTATATTATCTCAGTATTTGTACAGAAGAAAAAAATAAAAACAACTCTGTAACTCCTACATAGTTAGGAACACTTAAAAATGTGGAAAAAAAAAACATACATTTTTTGTACTAGACAATCTCTCAGGTTAGGTGGCACAGACTGATGCCAGGCCTTGGTTCCTGAAGTGGGTTCAGCTGGAGAAGCATGTACTGCAGATGATATCTGGTTCAATATTTCACCAGACAGTCCCGTTGATGTGGGAGTTGGCACAACTGACATTAAGCTTCTTCCCATCAAACTAATCTGAGAAGCATCACTTGTACTAATGAAACCCTGAGAATGAGGAACTGGGTTAGAAGGTGTAGGTGTTAGAGACTGAAGTTGGCTTTGTTGAGTTGTTGTAGGCTGTTGTTGCTGTTGGTTCATAGACAAAGTATTCATATTTTGCACCTCATTGACTCCTAAGAAACAAACAAAAAATTGCATACTTTTTATCTGGTCAACATAAAATCAAAACATGCAAACCTTGAAAAAATTATCTAATGCATAGTGCCAAAATTAAAACAGCTAGATTTAAAATAAACTGAGTATTATCACCAAAAAAATCTTTAAAGACAATTAAAGAATGCAGAAAATATAACTACTTCATCTCTTACAAAGTACCATAGATTTCACTTTAAATATATTAACAACTGATAGTACAGCAGCAAGTTTATAACACATTCAACTGCATAGGTAAAATAACAAGATTAATTAAAACATAACCACAAAATATGAAAATATTACAGTACTAGATCTGACAACACTCACCCTGACTCTGCCCTAAACCGAGTCTTTGCTGTATAACTTGAGAGTTAACATTATTGTTTCCTCCTGCATTATAATGGAGGCCTAAAGCAGCATAAGCACGTTGCATGTCAGCTGGCGCAGGACCTTGACTTGCCTGATTTTGCTGAACTGATGTTCCTGTTAATAATAAAAATATACATAGATACAATGCTGAAAATTCACACTAATATCTGTTTAAAAGTGAAAAAAATAAAGTTTCCCATCTATAGATATGATAAATAGTTTTATAGCTCTTAATAGTTAAATAGCTCTTAGTAGTAAAATAGCATGGAATGTTAAATGGTTGCAAATGTAAAACATCATAACAGATTACAAACATTACGTGTTTCTTAATTCAGTCCTGCAATCCATGATCCAATCAAAATAGAAATATCACCAGAGCTCCTTTTTTTTTTCTTTACTGCCACATCTTTAAAAGCAACAGCAGTCTTTTAAGCAGGATTCACACACTTAAATTCCAGAACATATTCTCCATGATTTTGGCAAAGACAACTGTGACTTACAACGTTATCATAGGATATATAAATATACAAAATAATAATAATTGACACTACACTGTCCAGGCATTTTTGCAGTCACTTTAAGTACAATTTAAATAAACCAGCACTTACAAGGGAGCTCTTTCTCTTTCTGAAATGTTTTCATGCTAGCAAGTAAGCTTACACCACACAGGAAAGAAAAAATATTTTACCCTTCTTGCATTCTAGCAAGTAAAAAGGCATACCAAACACAAGTGCAAAAATATTTGAGTTTATAATTTTAAAACTGTATTTGATATGTAATTTTAGTTGCAAGTTCACACTAACCAGTTAATTTTAAACTATACAAAACTTTTGTCATATTCATTGTTGTGACATGCCTAAAAATGATAAGAGGGGAGAGACAATTTGACTCATTCATTAAAAACAATGAAAATGTGATACATCAATATTATGTTAAGATATTCTAACAAAATTTGGTTGTGACATATCCCAAATTCAGATGCAAAAGAGCTAAATTTTGACAATATTAATAAAAAATCATAATTATTTAATCTAATTAGACATTTTTTAGCTTAATTGCAAATTGAAATACATGTATTTCAAAGCAGGTGTTTCTTTTATACATCATATTTTATGTAAGCAGTATGTAACTATCGTTTTAGTTTAGAAAGTATGAAAAAATACTTTCCCAGTTTAGAAAAATAAGTGCAATTTACACTTGACCAGAGCTTAAACTTTCACCACCAGATTCTTTGTAACTTTAAATACACTAGAAACTTTTATATATATATACCACAAATAATAATCTGCATTCAGTGTCTGATGAAGAAGCAGAAATTCTGACATGTTTGGCCACAACAGTAAAATGATTTATATGTAGGCTCGTTATTATTATTATTAATTTTATAATGTCATAATATGCTAACAATTTTGTTACCATGATATATATATATATACACAAAATGATACACACACACACACACAAAGCAGTTTTAAAGTTTGCAACTAGCACATAAACTAGCTACATTAGTTTAAGTATTACAGAAAAGGGAGAAAACACATCTTTGCTAGTTTAAATGCTGCACCAGACTTAAATTCTATGTTATCATAGAAGACAACAGTTAGTCTTCATTGTGCAAGTGCACATAAGTTCAAATAGAAAAAAATTATAGTAATATAAATAATTGTAACATATAACCATGACAATGTTTGCAACCAATGAGTAGTGACCTAATTTCACAATCTAGCTCCCATAACAATAACCTTATATAATAAAATCCACAAGAGATTGGCCAATAAATCACTTGTTATTATGGGGTTGACACTTAGCCAAAACAACAAAAGCTAGTTAAACTACAGACAGCCTAGCTTTCCATTGTTACTATACATATAGAACATGAAGTCACACAAAGTTTTACCTGCCAAATCAGGTATGTAGACTTAAAAACCAAAGCTCTAGTATTTTTATTTGCACCAGCATCTTGAACATTTTTCAAGCACAATAAGACCAAGACCTATATTCACATTAGTGTGAAAGATAAAACACAGTCACTTTGGTTTCCATTTATTCAAAGTTAAATTTATTCTGATTTTTTAAATTTAGGATAAACCTACAAAATGTGTAATTTAAGGTTTATTCTCTAACTATTTTATGTTTTTAGTTTTGATGTTTCATGCTGGAGACAAGTTCAATTAATGTGTGCTTTCATATTGCTAATTTAGTAGAAAACTTAAGTGACAGAACTTTGTTTAGGTCTGTTACTAGAAACTTGTGATACTAAATAGAATGAAATAAACATACTTTGTTAAATCTGAGATCTAAATGAATAAAAAGGAGCAATTGAAAATGGTTATTAAACAACAGTCATCGACTGTCACACTAAACTGCTTTGTACCACATTTTATCCATGACTGTGACCTTGAATGTAATTAACTCTGCTAATCATGTCAATAGGTTAGATATGGCACTTTCTGTGAATGTTCTAATGATCAACAGTTTTAATCCAGCTCAATGAAGATCATGTAGATACAAAGAAGTCAGGTGGACATTAGAGAAGAGAGCATCCAACCCAAGAAGTCCCAGCAGCAGAGGGACCAAGTAAGAAGGGATAGAGCAGATGATGTGGTACAGGCAGTAAAGAGAAGGGAACAAACCTCTTCATGAAATTCCTCAGTGGCACAATGAAGTGCCTGAGATATAAAGTTGAGGGAGGAGAGGTAACACAGGAGGGTGTTGAGAAAAAGGCAAAGATAAGAGAATTAGGCATTACAGAGCAAATTAGAAGATAAATAGTTAACCTCCCAAGCAGGCAAGAAAAATTCCAAAGGCTGGAAATCAAGCTATGGAAAGGAAGAACAGCTGTATGCCAAGACAAAAGAGACAAGAGTCATGAGGCAAGTAGTAACAGGTGTATTATTCGAGAAAGGAATCAGCATCTTATTACAATGGACATAGCGTGTATATAAGTATCTATCTATGTATGTGACCAAAATAATGAATACAATGTTGCTCCATCTATTGAATGGTACCACATATAAAGATAAAAAAGAAAGAAATTCATACTGTAGGTATTCAAGATCCAGACAATTATAAAAATAACTACAGTATGTGCAACAACCATTTCTTTATCACAAAACACAATTTCAAATAAAAAGTACTCTCCTCACAACAAGAACACAACTTTCACTAGGACTGTACGTGAGGGTTTGATAATATCTTTATTGATATAATTTGTAAAAAAGTACTCAAAAATGGAGTTCTTAAAAAGTTAACATTTTCCTAAATTGAAAATGTATTTCCAATAATGCATACCTCCACTCCCACTTATAGCTATTACTCGACCACCAGGGTTTCTTCCTTTGCTTATCTAAGTATAAGTCTGATTTTTTCTTGCTTGCTCCAGTCTTTTATACCCCACTCAGTTGCCCTTGGTGATACTTATCTCACGATACTCTCTACCTACGTCAGTGCACCTTCTATCCTGGTACTATATACAAGCACCTTATTCAGATAATGTTATAACTTTTTCAAGTCCATCCCAGTCTCTAACACTGGCTCTTAGTGAGGAAGAAGGGTGGAAAGTGAGATAGGAGGTACATTTTCAATTTAGGAAAATGTTAATTTTCAAAACATACATACCTCTTCTCCCACTTATAGCTAGAATCCTACATAGAGAAGGTGGAAGGGTCATTGTGGGCATTATCCATACAGAAAGTGTCTACATAGATCATACGTGTGTCAAAAGATTGGCACCCTAGTGGGGAGAACCACACTACATCCAGATCACGTATGCTCTTCACCCTGAACTTAATTCCTGTATTGTGGGTGGAATTGTACATGAGTGATCATTACTATTGGCCAGCACCAACCAGATAGCTGCAGTTCCACTACCCTACATTGGAATTAAGGGGGTCTTGGTACCTATATCCCTGTAGCCATTGAGTAATGCATTCTGAGAATCACAACAAGAAAGTAAGAAACACCAAAGTGGACAAACCTCTCTTCTACCAGAATAAGCCCGAAAGGCAACAACCCCAGGCTCGGAATGACGGGATCATGTATGCCTTACTCAACCTGAGGAAACAGAACTCAACCATTCTGGAATTAGGAACATTCATTCTCACTCCCCAACCATGTGGACAAGGTACGTTCTTCTTGCCCCCAGAATTATAGGGGAGGACATGGAACAACTGTGCTCAACCAAGGGCCCAGGTTGGGACCACACCGCATTTGGAATTATGAGGAGATAGTGAACCCTCTTCCATGAACAATGTACTGAATTGATATTGATCAAACAGAAGGGCCATGCACACTCCAAACGGATAGCAGAGCATCAAATCTGAACCAGTATTATGGGGAAAACATCCAGGGACCCAGACAGGAGGGCACCAACTTTGCCCTCTTCTCCAAGAGTAGGGGAATTCACTCCAACACTCTGGAGAAAAAACCTTTGTCCACCACTTCAGTGACTGGAAACCAGATGTGGTAAGGACCCCCTAGCCCCACTAGTAGAATCTGGGAGTAGTGTGTGTTGGGGAGTCCTGAGAAACAGTGCTCTGGAAACAGAGCAACAGTGAACCAAGTTCCCTAAAGTTTTAAAAGCAAACCGACCCCAATTTATTCAATCTGAAGATCAGCAGGGATGGGCAGGATCCCCTTATGCTTTACTAATGATAATCCACAAGTGGCAGTCCAACATAGTACAATAATACCACCTGTTCAGCTCCTAGGTGGTCTTATGGAACACCTCATTTCTACAGAACCTGTATAAAGTATATTGAAATAATGATTGCTAGTGCAGAATTGATTTGATAAAAGCACACCCGTCTGGGTAACACTCACCATAGAGTGGGATCCAGTCTAAAAAAAACAGGTAAGGGACCCTGTAAAGTAGAAAGAGAAGAGGCATACAAAAAATTATTTACTCCTTCTTATAATTTAGCTTATGTGGTCAAAATGGCCACGGGGGCAGGCAAAAACCCTAAGAGGGAGAAACTGTCAGATCTTGTAAATAATGCGAGAAACCCACATACCAGCCCTCGCAATGTTCTCCAATGAAAAATTCAATCATGCAGCTAAAGACATAGAAATGTGATGAATCTGATGAGATGTGACTCGCAGAAGTTTCCTCACCTGCAAAGATAGGCCAGAATAAGCAATATCAATCAACTTGCAAACCCACCTCGACAAGGTAATTGGGGATAAATCAGGGGAAACTTAAAGATCCAAATGAATAAAAAGTCGATGTCCATCATCTCAAAAGAAGTTAGTGTGAACCACATAACACCTCAGGGCCCTGACTGGACATAACAAACAATCGGGGTCTGAGCGATGATAGAGGTGAGAAATAGCCAGCAAATGAACTGGTGAGAAGGATTTATTCATTTCCCTGGCTGCCAGTCTTAGGTAAGAAGGATGTATATGGATATAGAAGGACATAAGTAGAGTGATAAAGAGTCCTGTGCACATGCAGTGTAAACAATTCCAACCAATGATGTCCACAGGCCAGCAACAACAAAAAATACACTTTAAGGGAAAGCTGATACGTGGTACATGAGGCTAATGGCTCGAGTGGATGCTGAGACAAAGTGTGTAATACCATCTTAATATCCCAGTTAGGTAATTGAAAAGGCCTTTTGGGATGAAGGATGCTAAATGATTGAGAAGACCGAACAGCACTGGGGGCTAAAATAATTTCCAATGTTTAGAGTATCGAAATGTAGTCAATAAAGCTGCCTTATATAAAGTAATAGCAGACTCTTGTCAAATAGCCAGGTCAAAAAACAAGATATGGTTGGCACATCTGGGCAAAGTGGATTCAATTTCTTCACAAGACACCACTGTCGATAAATGTGCCATTTACTTCAATAAATGTCCATTGTGGGTTTACGGAGAAATTGAGACAAATACAAGGCAACTTTAAAAGTTAAACCCTGATGCCATGCGAAGGACTGCATAACTTCCAGGCATGAAGCTTGAACTTTGGGATGTCTAGGTGTATAATGTCAGATCGAGGTGGCCTCAACAGAGACGGCCAACAAGGAAGTGGCACACATGGGCAGTCTTGAAGATACTGAAGAAGAGGAAACCATGGGCCAGGGCTACCAACATTACTCGAAAAGGGGTGGATCAAACCATAGCCAGAACTTTGGGTAACATACAAATCGGTGGGAAGGTATAAAGGTGCAATCCCATCCAGTCTTGACTGAATCCATCTATTGCCAATGCCTGAGGATGAGGTACCAGGGGCCAAAATGTCTATAGTTGAGAGTTCCAATGAGTGATGAATGCATAAATCATCGGTGTCCCAAGCCAAGAGCAAATCCACCGGAAAACCTCGCAATGTAGCATCCATTTGGCCAGGTTGGGTTGAGACAGATGATCTGCTACCAAATTCATCACCCCCAGAATATGGCAAGTGAGGAGGCTGATATGGTGGGAATGAGTCCAACAGAGAATATCCAAAGTTTGAAAACAACAATTCCAAGAATGAGTGTCCTCTTGATGAGAAATGTAAGATACCACTGTGGAACTGTCGGAGTGAAGCATGACAATTTTTCCCTTCAATAGATCTAGACCTTGAGACATTGCCCTTTGGACAGCAAGAAGCTCTAAAATATTGATGTGCAGGAAGATACATCATCCATACATAGACCCTGGAATTCATGATCATTGATATACGCATTCCATACCTGAAGTGAAGCATCTGTTCTGATCTAACCACCACTTGAGATCTAAGATGTTGATCCCAAGTAAGCGGACTGGGCAATCCAGTGGATCGCTGTTCATGACCCATTTGTCATGCAGTGACAACTGAAAGGATCATATGTGTGCTCATCCCAAAGGAATTAAGAGATTCAAGGGATGCCACATCCTCAAAAGAGAGAGAACCATCTGCACACTGGGAGAAGGAGACATGAGTAAGAGTTAGACTGCCCATTCCATAGCATGGGCCCAGATGGGTGTCGGCTGAACCCAGCTTAAAAATGTGTGGAAAAAGACACCCAGATGGGCAATGTATTAAGTCAGCATGAGAACAGATTTCTCGGCTATGATAAGAAAGACTGCCTTGGTGGTTTCTGAAAGATGAATCTAGGTGCCAGGAGTAACCAGTCATCCATATCATGGTGTGTGCACAGGCCCAAAGAATGAAGGTGACAAGAGAAAGCCTGTACAGTTCTGAAGAACACACATGGTGCAGATGCTAGACCAAATGGTAGAGCCATGAACTGCAGAACCTGACCCTTATGCACAAAATGTAGATAACAGTGGGACAACTCCACTATGGAAATGTGGAAATAGGCATCAGCAACATGGAATTTGGTCATCTATAAACCTGATGAAAAATGCCAAAGTAGGGTGAAAAATGACTCCATTATGAACCTTGAAGGAACTAACTGGTTGAGACAAAAAAGATTGATGATCGGACACCAATATCCCATCTTCTTGGGCACAACAAATATATGGGAATAAAATCCAGGAAAAAACTGGATTGACTCTCTCTACTACCCCCTTGACCAATAACTCTAAGGTAGCCCTGGAACAAAGGTCTACATTCCAAGGATCTGTTGGAGGTGGAGATACTAAAGGTTAGGGGGATAATAGTGGTGATGTGAACTGAATGACCAACCCTGATGCAAGAACCTGGAGTACCTATGAATCAGTGGTAAAGGAATTCCATATGTCCAGAAAATGTTGTAACCAGGTGAAGAGACAGGAAGAGGAGACCCAGTAGGCATAAGGAAACCCACAACATGCTATCAAATTCATTGTCCTCCTAGTCATTCTTAAATGGAGGTGAAGAGACAGGAGAAGGAGACCCAGTAGGCATGAAGAAACCCACAACATGCTGCATGAATAATGTAACGTTTCTCAAGAATCAACAAGCCTCCAGAAGCCATAGCAGAAACAGGTCCTGTGTTTGTAACCTTGTCACCATCACAGGACAAAGTCAAACTCACCATCACTTGAGAATTCATAATATTCGATGCTTTTGAAGCAAAAGCTGAGTTTCTTTGTACGAATGCAAGTCTCAATAGATTGAATGTAGACTGAAAAGTCAACATGTCTATACAGAGCAATGCTGAGAAAAAGAATGAAGTTATTTTGAGTGCAAGTGCTTAATTCTTTCAGCATAGGCTCGGTTTTTGGAACCAGCCTTGTAACCATTTTGTGCTTGTTATAGTTTTCATGCTATAACTTAAATTAGTAAGCATATGTTAAACAAATTTGGCAGATGATCAGTAAACATAACAATGCTTACATAAGCAAAATATAATTTTTTTTTAAGTCTCAAGGTTTGTAAATCTTTTTATAATCTTGCCTATCTATCATGCAAAGTAATTTTCATATTAAGATTAAAAATACTTTTATGCATCAGAAAATTTTCAAATTTCACATGCGAAATCTTTATAATGTCCAGATAGTTATCAAACATTTCTTAAGAAAAACTTCATAGTTCATCTGTTCTTTTCAGTAACAATTCTCTGTACAGGTTTGGTTGATCTGACCAATCTTGTAACCACATTAAAAAATTAGGAAATAAATATAAATTATGCCTTTTTCATTCTAGAATGACTATAAGTTATAACACAAAAACATAAATGTTTAGACTAAATAACTTAAATCTCATAACATTATACATTTATATATATATATATTTATTATTTTTATTATATTGACCTTTCAGCCATGCCTGGCTAACAATACAAAAGATACAATGATGTGGCACACATTCACTCATGTCCAATAATATAAAACTGACCTGTCTTGGCTGTGTTTTAGTACACTAGTATTTTGTAAAATACAGTCACATTTCAATTACTATACATTATATATGTATATAGATTATTGCTATTTAGAAATAAGCTCTTAAACTTATTTTTCTTAAAAGATAGAACACTAAAAAAAAAGAAGTAAAGCAAATAATTATCTGTTTTAGTTACGAACGTTGTACTCGGTTGCTAAGCCTTTTAAAATTTTGTACGTGGAGGATATGAAACAACCTTTTTTTTAGGTTTTATATATATACAGTTGAATAACCAAAAATTCATAAATTACTATATCGATACCATAGAATTCCACTATAATCTATCAAGCTTAGTAACTAAGCTGTATTTCAGTCAAAATAAATATAAAATTTTGAGCAGACTAAAGACAACCTACCTCCTTGAAATCTTAGTTCAAAAGAAAGAGATGGCATCCAAACACGTTAATATGTCTGAGGAAGCCACTAGGGGACATTCTGAGCTTCCAATTGGTTATTTATGTCATATATAGAAGTGTATATAAGGGACCATTTCCAAAAACAAGTCAACAAACGCGATGACATGGCCTTTCACCCATGACCTGTCTGGAAAGGGTTAAGGAGAGCTACTGCACATGAAGGTTGTGTCATCAGCAGAGTTCATATTAAATATGTGGGAGTTAGCTATTGTGTGTGAGGAGGGGAGGTATCGTCTCGTAAGAAGAAAACTACATTAACATCCCAGAAAAAATTTAAAAGAACAACAGCATTTAATGAAAATCAATTTGAAAGGAAACAAAGTTAAAAGACTTGTACTGTATATTTGGTTAAGTCTGCTCAAAAGCTGATACCTACCTGCCAACTGCTGTTTCCGATCTGCTTGCTTTAAAGGTAAACAAACTGGGCAATCACTTCTTGTGCAGTTCTTCCAATGTGAAATGATCTGTCGTGATGAAGCACAGTGATTAACCTGACAGGACTTTCCAGCTTGACAAGTTGTCATATGGTTTAGCACATTTTTCATAGTTCTACAATGTGGAAGTGAACACTGCCGAATTTCGCCATTGGCCTGATTTTCACGTCTCTGGCATTTGTGTGCATGTAGAAGTAAAACCAGCTGTTGCTGGATCAACTTCCGTTTTTCAGAATCCGCAGTTGATGGATTTCCACTAGCTTGTGGAACTGAGATTCCTGATGCTAAGCTAGATGTGCCACTGGGATTTTGAGGTGGTGGTCCCTGTGTAACAGTCTGTGTTGTAGATATGTTTGGACTTGTTACTACTTGTTGATGTAGTCCATGCTAATAATAAATATACATAAATCAATTAAATAATCAAACAGTGATATCAAATTCTATTTTAAGATACAAACTTTCTGTTAAACACATCATAGTTTTAAAAACAATAAGATCAAACTATAAAAAAAATCTGTTGTGCTTAAATTTAACAATAAAAAATACTGAATAAACTGCACTGATTTTTTTAAAATTATATATGATCTAACATTATTACCTTAATATCTTATTTTTGAACATACGGAACACTCTGCCCTGAGGATACTCTCAAATAACTATTCAGTAAAAACTTACTAAATAATTAGTTTTAGCTTTAAAAAATTATATTTCATGTTTTTATATAATGTTTTATATTTTGAAACATCCAAAATTTTCTTGAGAGACTATTTTTAGGAAACATTAAAAATACTTCCTTTCATCTTAGAATGTTAATTGCATTTATCAGTTCATCATTGATCATAGTTTTATTTTGTAAATAGAACCAATTTTAATGTTATGGATATTTCTTATGGCTATGAATCAAAAATAAAAAAACTGACAAAGATTTATTAACAAGTTATGACACAATTGCATCAGGTCAAGCTATGCAAAAAAAAATTTTTTTTTGCTAACAATATTCTTGGTTAAGCTCAAGTTGTATCTAATGCAGTTCCTCTTCATCAAACAGAGTTCTTTAATTCATCTACATTGTTCTAATTTTGTAACTTAACAATAATATTCAATAATTATGGACTTGAGCCAACAATATTTTGCTATCACCTACTCTACTCTCTAAACCTAAATAGGCTTACCTTTAAACGATAATTAATTTGCATACAAATATAACTTAACAAAAAATTGATTATTAATGTTTTTCTCTATAGGAACTACATCTAATCACTTTGCTATAAAACTATAAATTGTTTAATGCACCACTTTATTGATTCTACAATGATGTAAAAAATTTATAATCTGCTCTATCCAATGGTATTTAGCTTTACCTGTAGCTGTTTTCAAAACTGGGATTCATTAGTAGTTGTTCTCATGACAGGCAGTAACAACATAAAATGATGGAACATTAACTGCAATAACAGTAACTGCTTAGCATTCTTGCTTTATTTACCATTGGGTACTTGCTTTTTCCTAGAGTATTTGATGTTGTTAACAAATTCCAGTTTATGAAACTTAATTTTTAGACTGCTATCTAAGAAAAAAAAATTTTTATAAATATAACCAAAACACAGAATCAGACAACGTTTACTGTGCTATTGCATATAGTTAATGTCTTTAGTTTTTTAATTAAATAAAATTAAAAATACACTATTTCTATTATCATTAACTAGCAGCATTACCTGACATTTCCTGGGTTTTTGAAAAAAAAAAAGAAACCTACTCTCTCTCTGTTTCCCCATTCTATATTTCAATAGGTAAAAAATATTTTGTGAATTTATAATAAAAACACCACCTTAGGTTATTATTTTGAAAATAAACTATGAAATTGTTTTAAATCAGGGCTTCCTTGTGAATAATATTTTTTGTTTTTCCTTCACTGGCAACAATAAATAGGCCCTTATGGAGAATATTTAGATTACGTTATACACGTACGAGTACCCATTCTGGTGAACAGGTTAAGCCTAGCTCTATTCCCCCCCATTCCCATCATTCCTCCGCAAATATTAAAATTTCAAATGTAAATATGTATGTAATATTATGTTCAATTTGCTTTAATGTAAATTTAATAAATTTTTATGACTGTGGTACTGTATTCACATTATGATATGTATAAAACATACTACAAACATAATGCAATATTGTACTTTATAATGTAGCAAAAGAAAAAAAATCCACTTCCAAGTATCAAAACACCTGGAGGAAAAAAAGTAGAATAAAATACATCCATTGACTTAAATTTAATCTCATTCTACACAAGAAGTATTATAATGTAAGCCTTACTCTTTTCACATAGTCTATTTTATGGCAGATGGCATAATTTATTTTATAGATTAGGCCTACTGTTTGCTTTTTTATATATATAGATTATAATTCTGCATACAATTATTTTGGTTAAATATATAATGCAATAGTAGATGTATAGTTAATGATATATATATTTAAACAGGCCTATAATGCTATATTCTAAATTCAATGTTAACTCAAGACTTCCCAAAAAATGTCAAGTCTGCATAGAATTTGTGTAATGCATATGTTAACAATAAAATTATTGGTTCAGCTAGCTGACGATAGACACATACATAGGCCTATATTGCTATATTCTAAATTAAATGTTAACTCAAACATATCAAAAAATGTCAAGTCGGCATAGAATTTATTCATGAAATGTATGTGTTAATGATAAAATTAACAGTTCAGCTACCAGATGATAGACGCGTATATCAACGAATTAGTCGTTTAGTGCATCTTCAAGTGAGGGAAGTATGACCTACACAATGATCATGGCAGAAAAACAAGCAAGCAAACAGAGATTTTGAGTTTTATATATAGATACCTAGCTATGTTATGTATATGATCCCTTCAGTCTATTAATTGCCCTTTGGGTATGAAAATGATGTTACTTTAAGTTAATAAACCTTTAGTATAAGGATATAATGTAGCATTATGCTTTTTTTTTATGACAAAAAGATGTAATGCCTTATTTGATATTACTGCATGTGGTTCAACATATTAATTACTTAAATATCAGTTTTTCATCTCACACCTATAACATTTCTCATAAGAATTTATTATATATAATTCTTTCACCTACATATTGTATATTATCCATAGTCAAACACAACTGTTACATACAGTTATGAGCATAATTTCATTTAGCCTTGTCTATTATCACATGATCACCTGCATTACAACACGGTAATAATTTCATAAGGATCATTTGACCTTTGGTCATTGACAATTTAGTTGTATCTCCAAGAAAGCAAAAATATTGTTCACTGAGAGCTTAAACTTACATTTTCTAAGGATGGATTTACAGGTGAATGAAAACGTGGACCTATGTTCGTCATTCCTGTTGTATTTGATGGGTGCTGAGCACCTGCTAACACAGAAGCTACAGAGGTGGGCAAACCAGGAGAATGTGTTCTTGAAACTGCCCCACTGTTTCCAGCAAAGCTCCTAGACATCTGTATTTGCCTTACAGCAGGTCCAATTCCTGGACCCTAAAAAAATTAACAAAGAAAAATTATTTTGCATTATGATCATTTATACTCAGTATTTGTATGTGCCATAACTTAAAACAAAGAATTAATACTACTTTACAAGCAAAAGCAAATTTGTTCTTTAAGGCTTTAGGGGCTGGAGTATTTTTACATTAAGAAAACTTGGGAAATTTTAGGGAAAACTATGAAATATGTAATAAATAAAAACTTGGTTATTTTTATACATATAATTTATTAATCTTGAAATAACAAGTTAAAGGCTAATATTTAGTCTTGTATAAAAATTTAAGACCAAATATTTAACATTTCACAGGAACCTGAGCTCTTTAAAAGGTCTAGATAAAAATCCTAGATCACAAGAAAGAACAACAAAAGAAAAAGGATATGACCCTAAATTTGAAGACTCCACAGTTTAGGTGCCAAAGAAAAGCAATACAGCAAGAAGTCAAGTCTAGTCATATGAGGTAACAAAGGAATGAGGATGAGGCATGTATGTCCCAAAGTGGTGTTGGTAAAAATAACTGAATATGTAAAAAAAATACACGAGAAACTTAGTCATGAAATCACTAAAAAAGGCTGAGGTAGAGTCAAGACAATATGGGTATAAGATGAGGCAAAAAACCAGCAAAATATCTTCCGTCACAAACAAGAAACATAGTTGGAGGTATGTTAGGAACAAAAGAAGGCTCAGGCCGCATTAAAGACTATCAACTGCCACACAAAAGCTGTCACCTCTCCCAACAAACAAAGACAAACCCAATGCCAATATAGTTGATAGGCTAGTGTGAACAAAGTTGTGTTGTTTCATACCAGACAACAGGAAGTTACTGATATTTGTGAAACAATGTCTTTGTAGTAGATACCTCCACCAAAAAATGCCTAAATCTGAAAAATTCAGGAGCAAGAAAATAAATGTTGTTACACGTGAGTGCCAAGTCGATAAGTGATGACTGTGCTCTACAGTATGGAGTCAGCTGCACTAGAATGGTATGTTGCACTCCTATTAATGGAGGGGTGTTGCATGCTACAACCCAGCTATACCATGTGTAACCACGTGATATTAGGTGGAATCCTCAAAACTAGTAGCTAGCTGAAATTGTACATATAGAGGGCAGCACAAATTGAGAACAGCTATTGTGACAGGAGGTAAGGTATTGTATCAGAATTTGATACTTAGGGTTAAAGAAAACTGTTTTTATACACTAATTAATATCAAAGCCAACTATTACCAAAAAATTATCAATATTGTATTCTTTGGCACATTTTTAAAATTTGCAGTAGCACAACTTTTAAATGTCATACCTGCTTACCAAAATGCATTATGCCAAGTTACTATATCACTAATGACACAAACTTCTAACAAAAATTGATTCTTTGGATTTCATATAATTCCATACACAGGTTAGCAATATATAGTATTCCTTTTGTCTCTTGCATATTACTGAAAATGTTTTGGTACAAAATTTTTAAACATTTTGATATCATCAGCTTACCACACAATACATTCACACACACACACTTTTCATGAATATTCTTAGCAAATAATAGTAAGTAAATATGAAACTCAAATATGTTCTGCCAATATAATTAAAGAATTAATTTTAACCTAATAATCAATAACAACATTCATTAATTATATCTTAAAGATACAGATATATATATGTTTGGTACCTTCATTACTGTCATTGACTGAGAAGTGGCGATGCCAACATGGCTAAGAGGATTCTGATAAGTAGTGTTCTGAGGAATAGCACTGGCCAGCATGTTGTTGTGTGTCATGTTATTGGCTGATACAGCATTGGTGGGCATTCTAATAGCTCCAGAATTGTTTACATTCATCTGAGGCCCATTCATCATTCCTCCTCCTCCATCAAGAAGTTGAGTCTGTTGGGGATGTTGCAACTGGGTTTGAGAGAATTTGGTAGGAAGATTTTGTTGTTGCAACTGCATAGGCAAATTAGCTGATGAGCTCAAAGATGAGATGGTAGTTAACAATTTCCCTTGAGAACCTAAAAGTCCACTCTTGTTGACCCCTGAAGACATACTCACCAATGGATTAATACCAATAGAAATACTTGACCCACTATTTAGATTACTGTTTATCAGACTATTTGGTATGCTTGTCAAACTGTCAATATTCATGGTATGGTTATGAGTCAAACTAGACACTGAAGTCCCAGCTCTACTAACTATCATGCTTGGAGAAGACAGATTTGCATGAGGACTTTGTACATCACTCATGTTTTGCAAAATGGCATTAGGATTAGAAATTGTCTGGTTACCAGACAATCCTGAATGATTCTTAGAACTTGTTAGAGCACCATGACTAGATGATGCCTTGTTTTGAAGGAGGTAAGATAACTGTTGTGGTCTCTGTGGTGACATAACACTAACATCTTCCTGGTTGAGTGATGAGTCTACTGCACCATTCTGCAAATTCTGGCCAGAGTGAGAACTAGATTGTAGCTGCTGTGTTGGCTCAGGTCTTGTTTCTGTGTTCTTAAGTTCTTCTGGAAGTTCATTTTCCAACTCCCATAAGTTTCCCAAGTTAAAATCTACAAAAATAAAAAACAAAAGTGTACATACAACATATTCATGTATCATTCACATCTATAAGTGACACTGTCCTTTACAAAGTGGCTGAAAAAGTTGCATTTTGTAAAACATATTTTAACAAATTAATGCAACAAAAATATCATGATACACAAAGTAATTATGTTTCAAAGTCTATAAGGTGGCAAATATGCTGTTTATATTGGAGAAAACAACTTTCAGGAAATCACTTAAAAATTTGTAATTTTAACACAACATTAACAAACTGCCATCAACAGAAAATTGTATAGCTATTACTTCTGAATTTATATGATATTAATAATCCTCATCATAATGTTACTGTTGTAACAGTTTCTACCATTCGGAGGGTTCTTGGGTAAAAATAATGTCAAGTTCAGACAAATAGGTGTAATAACTCTCACTGTCTAACTCAATAACCAATATGAATATCTCATTAACTGACTAATTCACAAAGTCTGTGATTTATGTACAATTTAGTTTTGTACATGATACGGGAAACTTTCAGATTCTACTGGGGCCTTAATTTTTATGAAATTTCTACATCTTATGTCATAACATGCTACCTCCAGCAAACAAACATAGAAATTAATATTAGAAATATAGTTGCAAAAATTATCATAATTGTGTGAAATGACTTTGTTAGGTTGTGCTCTAATGCCAAACACCCAAGGTAAATATAGCATAAAAACTGTTGAAAACTATTTTTGCCTTTATTTCTGATTTTACCCTTAAACCTTAATATCTTTTTTTTAAGGTAAAAATAAATGATTTTTATATTGGTAATCTTTTCTCTTCAAGTTGAAGAAAAAAAAATCTTTAAAACTGAAAGAATTTCAAATATAAAAAAAATACAAAGTGAAGTGTGAAAAATTAAAATATTTATTATTTACATATTATATTGTAAACAATGTTCTCCACTGTAAAGCTTAAACAACAATTTATCTTGACACGATATCTAAAATAATGCTCACCCTTAAATTAAATAAATGGATTTCCTTCAGTTTGCATGTTCTCCATTTGAATTCAAATCAAGTGTTTTATCATTAAAAACATTCACATAACTTTACAAAAAATATTTTATAAAAATTAATCATGTCTTCAATTAGTAAAAATAGCACATTCAGAATACCAAAACACCCTACTATAATATCACAAATATTTCCTAAATGAGCCCTATTAATCACATTACAAATCACTTTTTATGCAAAATGCAGAATGAATGTTAAGTCAGAGATTTATATGCCAAAAAACAGTATAGTGTAAAAAGATTGGAACTTTCACCTGAAAACAGCCACCAGTTACTAAGTTTTATCAATATACATATATATATCTATCTAATGCAAAAGCATCACCGGTGTCCATTTTTCATGCCAAGACTACATCTTTTCTTACCAATCTCAACCAAATTTAGCATGTACTATTAACCATATCTGGGCCAGCAGGGCAACAGTGTCATCCTCATTTGTTTTGTTCTAACGTTTAAAATACTTAGCCTGCTTGCATAAAACTTGGTACACACTTGCTACATATGTAATTTGTGCTTGAAAAACATTGATCATTTGATTTAGTATTTGTAAGTTCAGGTTGTTAATTTTCAGAAATTTTATTGTAAAATAGACCCTTTTTCTTAGTTTCTGTTGTTTTTTTAATGTATCCAATAGGCATTTTTTTCAATAAAACTAACTAGTATCTATGTTGTTTTAATAACAAATACTCATTTTCTCATCTGTTCATACAAGCCCTTACATACAAAGAAAGTAACTTTAAAAATATGACAAAATGAAATATTGTTGATCAGAAAGTTCCATTTTATATATTTTGTCTAACTTGTTTTATTTTCATCAGATATTCATATAGTTGTTTATCTTTACCTAATACATTTTTGGCTAAGCTCAATTTCTTTCTGATAATTATATCTTGTGTTCAATGACTAAGGAGTTTTTGTGTGTGTTTTGTTTGAGTAATAATAAATTTACTAACACACACAAATAAAAAAGCTTTTCTTCATCTGAATAGTTTGGCATCTCCAAACTCCAAGCTTGCTAGACTACTCACTAACCCTAAATATCCTTACCTTACATCTTCTGGTATCAAAATATTTTGTAGTTTTAAAACATTCATGACAAAAAAAAAAGATTAACATGAATGAAAATATCACCAAAAGAAACTATAAAAAAAAACCAGGCTGGTGGTTGTTCTAAGTTTTGTAAACTTCCCATTATAATCTTTTGTACTTCACAATGAGGTAAATAGACAAGAATCATTTAGTTCCAATCAGATTTAACCATTGGTTCTATCTTAGTTGGAGAATGAAATTTATTAGTCACTGTCCAACCCACCTACTGTGACATCATAGAAGCCCCTGAACACAGGGTTCTTGAAATAGACATTGAGAGAAAAGAAAGTCAATTGAGAAACAAAACCTTGGATAAGTTTTATTTCTAAGGAATGCCTGAGTTTGGGTAAATGGAAACCTATACTCTGGGACAGTCACAAAAAAAGTGTTCAAAATGTACAAGGGTTTATTTTTTTTTACAGGTGATACCCACTGGAACTGCACAGAGCTCAAAGTTCAAACACTTTTTACATTTTAGTTTGCAAATTACAATAAATAAATTTTACAATGTTACAAAATGTTAGTTCTAAGATATTTTTGAGTAAAAAAATTTAAATAGTTAGAAATACTATTTTTACTTAAGTTGTGAAATTTGTTATGCAAGCTTTCCCTCAACCCTTGAGAGCTGCCCATTGGTCCATATAGAATTAAAGCCATTAGTGAGTGATATCAAAAAGTTGGTATCTAGGCCTGACCCTCTTGCTATGTCACCATCTGAGTAGCTCCTATGTATTTCCTACTTGCACTGTTTTATTGATCTATACCAAACTCCTATGTCACCCCATTATGGCCCTTTGTCTTCCTCATGCTTTGAATGGGTATGTCAACTGGTAATGTACAAAAACGAAATGTGGAATATATTCAAGACTTGTAAATAACCAATTATATAGTTTCAATGCAGATAATGTATAAATGGAACAAACTACCAAAGTTTAAATTTTTTAATGTACAAGAAGTTTGGGAATGTTTTTAATAATAGTAAGTGGAAAGTAATTTGATCTGCTAAAATATACAACCTGATGTGGTAGGTAATACTGTATGAAATGATTAAAAAGAACCGTGTTTCAACTTTTTATGAAATTTTTGAAAAATCACATTTCTTTACAACAAATTTAGTTTAGTTTTGCATTTCACGGTTTAAAAAACTAGATTCAAATTTAAAGACAAAATATCTACGTATCAGTGTTGAAAAAAGTTTAAATTTCCAGTAATGTTAGGAGAATTGCACCACCAAAGTATCTCCACTTTGTGTTTTATACATTAGTACCTATATACGTCTTCAACTAACATTGAGAAATACTTTCTGACAATTATTTAAGGATAATGTAATACATATACGAGTTTAATAATACTTTTTAAATGTTTTCCTCAACCTATTGTTTTATTACCTTTATTATTTACAAACTTATTGGAAATTATTATCAACAAGCTTGGGTTGAACCTTAAAAAAAATCTTAAAATTTTTAGTTGTATCTTACTAAACAAGGGCAGTGAAAAACCATATTAATATTGACGTACTTTTTATATAATATCACAAATGTAATGTTTTCCTTACTGTAGGTTTTAATTTTTCTAGGAGCAGATGCTATGTTTCAACTTTTATTCATATAAAATTGAAGCCTAATTAAGAGAATATTATGATTGCAAGTGCTAAAAACTAGTACTTTTTCCAACATTATGTCAATAATTTTTCCTGTGTTAAAAAAATTTGCTCCATCCATGCATTTTTTAAACTTAAGTTTGTAAACAGAGGAAAGAATCTGACTTTTAGAGATCATGCACACCAAATATTAGAGCTAGGAAATAAGTGAAGTTGGTTAATCACTTAATTGTCGAGCTCATTAACTGATTACATTCAACCAATCAATTATTCTCACAAGACTTATACAGTTAAAATAACTTAAAATTATATTAATCTATTTGATCTTGATTATAGTTGTGAGCCATGACACTAATCAATTAAGCTCAGCATCCATGAATTAATTGTAAATAATAATAAGAAATTATAATGGCAATATTTTGATTACTTTGATAGATGAAAAAATCAAAAATAGTAATAACTGGAAACACTAATTTTAATTAGTTGATTATTTTTGACATTAATCAACTGATGTATAACTTCAGTTAATCGATTATTTTATGTGACATGAAACAATATAATCGATGTTCATACACAATCAATTATATTGATTATTTAAGTTAATCACCCACCACTACCAGCTAATTTTATCCAAAAAAAAATATAAGCTCAGTTTCATTTCAGGAACCTAAAAGTAGTGTTGTAAGTGAGTTTGTCATAAACACTTTACATGTCATTGGTATTACTACCCGAATCTCATCTGAACGAGTTGCACTGAAGTACCTCAATAGGGGCACAGAAAATAAAAGAGGAAGGGAATTATTTTGAATATCAGAAGCAAGATCAGTCTTAGTAAAAACAGTAGGACCAAAAAGGTTACAAAAATATGGAATATTTAAGATGAAGTTCCTAATAATGAAGGGAAAAAGGCCCTCAATGGTATTTTCTACTGGCTACCTATTCAGGTTATTGACACTGTTAGACATTAGCTCAGAGAGGGTAGCATGCTCCTACAGAAATAAATTTATCATTATCAGATTATAAAAGTTTACTGAACCAGTTTGTATTCTTTCACATTAAGCTGAATAATGTTTTGAGAATGAAAACTTTTTCTCATTTGGCACTTCAAAGATCCTATTAGATATGCTAATTTGATATAGTGCTCTTAGTAACAGGAAAGATACAGTCAGAAATGTAGTAGTATAAAAATAAGCAATCATAACATCATTATCTTTGATGTTTATTTTTAAACAAATTTTACAGCTAATGTAAATTATGTTTTCAAT